CAACTTTTACGTGAAACTGAATTATGAACAATTGTTCGTTCATCGTATTTAAGTGACTTCTGATGCACTCAGTATTACATGAAATTATTCAACAGCCACTTTAATGTATAAACATCGTTGAAGAGATTAATGCAGCAACCTATTCAAGACAGAAATAATTAAGAAATATTCTTGTTACTGGGTAGATATACAATATTTACAAACATAATTTTTACCGTTAAACAAATTTTAATTATAATTTAAATTATTTCTTCGACACAGGTTAGACAGAGTGAACAAGTAATGAAATTTTATTTATTTAACATGGTGAAATACTTTTTAGGTGTTGAGTTTCTAGAGCTGAGCAGTTTAATTGTTGAGCCTTCATTGTGACTCTGAATAATATACATAATTCAGCTGGTCTACTATTGAAAAAGTAAAAACAACTGACAGATTTTTATCCTAGTTTGTGAATCTTCGGTTGTTCACATACCCAGAATGGTGAGAAAAGTATGACAAACGGTTCCACCAGACTGTAATTTTATGTTTTAGAAAAGTTTAGACACATAAGTCAAATTATAAGCCAATTTATAAATTCAGAGGTCCAACATCTTTTTAATGTCATAATACTTTATGCTTAAAACATTCATCCGAAATTACTTTTTTTATTGAAACACATTTAAACTTTTCATATAGTTTTGTTATATAGTTATGATAATCAGTGGTTAAGTTAATTTCACAGTCTCATCTTCCATTTGCGTTTTTTTTGCTGTGACCGTCAGAAGTTTTCTTCTAGATAGAAAATAGGGAAAAAAATATTTTTGAGCATACGAAATCCATTATTTTCGTGCAGCGGTTTTAAGTGGGATGATTTAAGCTTAGGCAATTTCACGAACAAGTTGCATACTACAAACCAGATTAGAGCAAAGAACAGCTTTGTCAACTCTTCCATAGTTCGAAAACTACCTTATTTCTGATTGAAAAAAATAACCAAACTTATCTTATTTCTCATTAGTTTGTTGAAATTCGAATGACATCTCAACACTGGATACCATTGGCACCAGCAGGAAAATAGTATTCTATTTTGGAACTTGCGGACAATTCTTAATCAAACTGATTGAAGCTCTAGATAAAATATACTACTGACTTCTAATCTAGCGGCCATTTATTTTCTGCACATCAACTGTAGAAATGATTAGAAATGTTAGATAGGTTTGAAAAATGTGTACAGTTCCTTAACAGTTAATTTCTCTCAGTTTGGATAGAAAATCCTTAGATTTATAGTATCCTTAAATCTCAAGTTGAGAATAACAAACAACTTGGTAAATTTCAGCAGCTTATCTCTAGACACATTGAAGATAGTAGTTATTCATTGGGAATGCGCGCTTTTACACTGACAAAAAACCATGTTGAAATTTTGGCATATCTGTTATGTAATCCAAAGCAAAACGGCTGGCACTCGTTAAAAGATTTTAACTATTAGATGATTTTTTCCCGGTACTTCGAAATCTGAAAATTAGTAGATAAGTTTACAGTCCCATTTTCTAATGACACATATCCGAACAGTTGAACTAAAATTATCTAAAGAAAGGCTAAAAGATGTTAAAAGGGACTAAACCAGTGAAAACAGTTCGGTAATTAAAGTAACTTGAAGAACAAATGGATTTAATTTACTGCAACCAATTTTGAGCCATGTGAGATAAATATTCTCATCATTGCTTTATGTAACCAAGTGAGCACCAATCTAAGTAGTCCACCGATTTCTGTATGGTTTAAATCATCATTAATTGACCTAATGAATGATCAGTTTGTCTTGATTTGGTTATAAATGTTCTTATAGCCCACTTTTATTTCGTTCAGCATTATATGCTAACGAGCCCATCCACTAATACGCCTAGATTTAAAAATCTAATAAATCATGAATATTACTGAAACTGTAGTGAACAAGGACACCAGTGGGAACAATCGAATGTATTTAACACAAAATTACAGGACCTGTTAATAAAATCTAACAATCAAAAAGTAAATGCTTAATTTGCAAAATGTTCATCAATTGTCTCAAAATGACTCAGACTTCATTGTTCTTGCATTTTCATGCAAATTGCATCCTGTTTCCATTCTTTACTGTTCGATCCTCTTGTCTCCCTGCTGCCAGACCTTCTGTTCACAACTAACATTACATACTACTTATGTCACTGTAAGTAGCACACACCACAAAACTGAGTGGCATTTTAACGAACTAATGATCATATATTTCTGGCTTACCTTCTCAATAACTATGTTCCACAGCTGTATCTTAATTCTCAGCGTTGTTCAGTATTCAGGCATCTAACTTACATCACATACTCTGACTTTGTATATACGCTAAGATATCGCTGTTGATAAACCTATTATACCATATACGTCGCTTGATGTTAATGCAGTAATTTAACAATTCCAAACAATAAATTACTGATCACTGAATTAAATTTCTGTGCAAAATAATTTCATAGTAATTTGTATGTTGAAAACTAATACTAAATATTCTAAAAATTCGTCTAAGTCTTTTTTAGATAATCAGTTTCATTGAAGAGCTACCGTATAATAAAAGCATATTGTCTGGATAATATAGAGAACCAAGGATATCCTAAAACAAAATCAATACGTGACAAAGTTAAGTGATCAAAGTAATACATTCAAAAAACCTTTACTGAATAAATTGACATAATTGGCTAAAACCAGCTTTGTAACCTCTTATCTGTATACAGTTCATACTACTAATTAATGTAAATGGAATGAATGTTGCATTTTTGAAAATAGCTCACTTAGATTAAATTATATTGTTTTCGTCTCGAGCTTACCAACCAATTAGTTATTATACTGATTACAGATCATAATCACTATGACTAAGATCGCCTATAAACAAGTATCATATTTAACATTTGAGATACTAATATATGATTGACTATACTTTTATTTTCGTGTCTATTTTTTCTCTATTTAATACAAAACTAACAGATATCTATTTGAATAACATAAAACAAAAGCTTTAAACTTCTTCTAAAGTTTATGTAGGAAATCAAGGGTTGACAGATTTAAGTTCGAGATAGACTTGTATTATATCAGTAATAATTATATAATTTAACAAAAAAGTTAAGAAATAAATCGATTTTCATTCTTATGCACTATAAAGTAATTCTTATATTTGTGGCTACTTTATTCACAGTGCTGATCAATAATAACCTTTATAATTGACTAGTCTTATTAATTGTTTCGGTTTAGGCTTAAAAAATACGTATAAACCTACATTATGAAAAGCTTTTTTTCTAATTTAGGTTGTTCTGACTGATTGAAATTAAAACTAATTTCAAGAATAAGTATTGATTAACAAGACCACATAAAATTCGGATACGATAGAAGAGCTAGATTATGCAAACAATTTTTTTAATGTATGGGATCAACCGCCATTGATCGAAAAGTGAACTCTTATTCAACAATATGTATTTTTTCGATATCATTTATAAGTTGGTGAGTGCAAACGTCAAACACAGTCGGGAATTCCCACTCTGAATTTTATCAGACGATTATACTTTACTTCATCTGCCAAAAGACTATACTGAGTTAATGTAAACAGCCGCAACAAACGTCCGGGGTCAAATTGCGAGCTATCGTTCATTTCTGCTTACAATGCTTGTGACTTACTGAGATTATCAAGGCAATTAGCACAGGATGGACATATTCAAAGCCAGGCTGATCAATTACAGTTTTAAGAGTCAATGACAGGATTCAAATAATCAATACAAATGAATTAAAATTCATCCCATATCACATACCAGTAGCTGAAGGATAACGCTGTGTGGTCTGAAGCGAATAGTGATTGCTTAGAATCCCGGAGGTGTATGGGCTCTGGGATTCAAGTATCCCCGGCTGACGAGTTCCAAATGGGGCGAAACGCGCAAGATTGATTCCTTTGCTAGCCACCATTGATTTCTACACATAAATTTGTGACCACTGTTTTTGCAAAGGTTTCGTATTTAGCCTTTAGTAAACTCTCACTTGTAGGGAAATGAATATTGTAAGGAGGAATATCGAGAAACTGTGGTTGACACATCTAGTAGAAGGATGGGGCATATATTTTGTTTATCAAAAGATAATGGTCTGTACACAATGATGATTGAACGTGAAAGAAGTCATAGATCAAGCCAGTGTTCGAACCACCCACTACAGGGCTACTATGTTTAAGTAGATCATTAAGCTAAATTCCAAAAGTTGGCCAGCAAACTGGTTTCATCGCTACTCTCTCCACTAAGATCTACTCTCTAAGAAGAAACTTGTGCAATAAACTGTGGCTATTATTCCAGCTACTATACTATAGCAGGTAAGACAAACATGTAGAAAATATAGTCGACAACCCACCTGTTTACCTATGAGGTTTGAAGTTTAATTCATAGGGCTATATTTTGGCATATTAGAGAGCATTTGTTGAGAATCTTCAATTAATTTATTACTTTCACACAGAAATATCAAACTGCTAACAGAAACTCACTTCAAAGAACTACAGATCTATTTATAGTGAAACTAAAAAAACTACTTATTGAAGTGCGGCTTTTGTTAAGTTTATCCATTTTTAGATTTCAGTGGAAACTGTTTGACAAAAGGTTGTTTAAATACATTTAGAGGAATAATAGAAGCCAAATGGTTTGATTTACTTCATGAGTAAAACTTCTATGATCGAAACGATCAAAGTGAAACAGCTTTAAAGAGAACTAGTAATAAAAGTTTTCCTCAATAGATATATTATTTAAAATATCAGAATGATAATGGTGAACAAAATAATCATAAAAATGTATATCAACTCTAAGCTAGTGGAAACTATCCAGAAACTAGATAATAATTATTTATATTTTGATTTTAGTAAGCAAACAAACATAAAATGATAAAAACTTTTTAACAAGTCCCGGAAATATCAAATACAACTAGAGTGTACTTTATAAACGAGATTATTACATTTACTGATTAATTAATGAATAAATTAAACTTACCAAGACAACGCACTATTCTATGCAATTGATCAATATCAGAATCACCAGGGAATAAAGGATCACCTGTCAACATTTCTGAGGCAAGACAACCAATAGCCCAAATGTCAATTGGTCTAATGAAATACAATAATAATAATGATTATAATAAGTAGCGTTCTTATTATTGATAATGGATGTAGTAAAGAGCTTTATTCATGCAACATAGATTATGATGTTCAAAAAACTTGTTCAGTGTCAGGAGAAAAAGCCACAGATGAATCAAATAATAACACCACTGATAATATTTTAACAGCTCAATTATTATACTCTTTTCCTGTGTTTAATAATAAACGTTTCTGTTCATTTTTAACCTTCTAAGCACAGTAAAATGTACTACCAATACTAGAGAGGTACATATATAAACATGAAATTCTGTCAACTCAACAAATATTGATAATTTTAAGGAAGAAAACTTTTAACTTAGGGTAAATATGTAACAATTTTCCTGCAACAAACTAATGTAATCAAGGCATTTACTTTAATAAACCAGAAAAAATAACTTGTTCAGTTTTACTAATGAATTTAAAACAAATATAGTCTTTGTATTTACAATTCCCAAAATCTAAAGAGTAAACGATCAGTGACGTTTATAGGCAAAATCATATACATAAACCCTTACCTAGAAGACCTAAGTTCCCATTGACGTTATTCAATCTAATTTATTTAACGTATATATTGATGTGAGTTACTTTTTTCACCGAAATAGTACTATTACTAGCAAGCGGATAGAAATTGTTGACAGAAACTACAAACATTTACAAAGATAAATGTTTAGAGAACTAATATGTAGAAAACAAGCAAATAAATAATGGATTATGTTACAAATTGTCTAGTTAACCATTAACTTTTAACATTTTTGGTAAATAAATATTTCATACTAGTAGTACAAGATTCATTATTTATTTTGTGTGTAATAAATATCTTCGTTGGTCTAACAACTTTCTTTTTTTACCTTCTTGATATTTAAACTGCAGATCTTGAGTTCATTGGCATTTTTCAAAAGTGAACAAATTTTTATTGAAAAGAAAGATAAACTGTAGAGTCACGACACTTGATTAGTGGAGAGAGATTTCAGCAATATATGTTTTACTTCAAGTTACCCTATAATTTTACCAACAATTTTCTGAGATATACTATACATATCATAAATAAATAATAAAAAGTTGAACTGCATTGTCAATTTGTACTGAATGTCTAACTTAATAATGTTAATCTTATACGCTAATCAACATAAAACACCGATGTCGTTAGTTCAGCTTTCCCAGATCATCAGATATACGCATTGTTCATAAAACCTTTAATTTTCAAAAGATTCACAGACGCTCCTTAGATACATTATTCTTCTGCGACCGAACCCAAGATCATTTAAAACATTTTAGCCACATTTAGTCATACATGACCTATGAAGCACTGTCCAACGGCCTGGAAATATTATTAAAATAGATTAAGGGAAAGAGAGAAATTCAAATCAAGAATTTATACGAACACTTAAAAAAGCACCGTCCCCACCGTCTTTGATTTAAGGACATGTCACCTCATCCTTCTGTTATTGGTCAAGATAACCACGAGGACTCCAACTAAATATTTGCACGTTGGCCATGGATCAGACCAATAATTTGTAGACTATTGCCATGAACTGGTTTGGCTTCCCATGAATTTCTTAAACCTGACTCCTGTAACATTCTACTCTTTGTGTTGATGTAAGAAGTAACTAACAGTCAGTAACAAATGTTACAATCATCTCAGTCGACATACATGTATGGTCTGAGTAACTAACTTTTCATAGTCAGGTTTGAAACCTCATTGACAGTTTGAGTACTTTTGTTTTCGAGATCTATTCGAACGTCCAGTGATTATAAATCTTGATATGATAAAGAATATATTAATGAAACTGATTCCGCTGTGATTTTCATGATAAGGTTTTGGTCCTCGATTATATACTGAAGTGGCCAGTGATCCTGTTTGATTACATGAAAGTGCAATTAGTTCATATGATCTACTTAATGTATCAGTTAATTTTGAAGACAGTCCAAATTTCAGAACTCCTAGAAACAAATGATCATTTCAATCGCTTTTCCTTGGTTTTTATTAATCATTAACTCGTTGAGCCCGTTGGTGGTTGGGAGACATATGTCAGCTTTTATTTCGGATTGCTTAAAAATATTAGTTAAATGTAGGCTCAACGAAGGATAGTTGAACTCTTCTTAAATGTTCTTCACACGTCTTAACTTATTGTTGGAATGGTTTACTGAAGAACTTCAAGAACAGTTCCGTTAAACTATTTTTTAACGCTGTAAATTGAAAGCAAAATTTGGTGCAACATTCATGTTGGGCAAATATGTTGGATCTTACAAACAGCAACCTTAGAAAATATTAAAATTGTCTTTTGGTATATCTTAATCATAAAATTGTTTTACAGCCATATTTAAAGACACAGCTATTTTCTGCGAACACAAACTGGGATAACGAATTTTATGCAAAACTTTGAATGTACGAAATAGAACCAACCTGCCATATTTTGTATCTCCCACAAGAAGTTCTGGTGCTCTGTACCATCTGGTGGCCACATAATCTGTATAAACTTCACCGGGTGCAGCAAGTGTACGTGCGAAACCAAAATCACACAATTTGACGACGCCACTACGACTGATAAGAATATTTTCGGGTTTGATATCACGATGAACTATCTACAAGATGAAGTAAAAACCATTTCACTTTATGTTCACCGATCTGTCGCAACTAAATACCCAAAACTAGCTTAGCCTGCTACAGTCTACAAACACACCTTGTTCTTTGACGTCACTGAAGTGTCGGTTACTTAGTAGTTGATCTTGATCGCTTAAACCTAGCTTCATGGTCTCATCTTCTTGATATGTCACAATATGACAGTTTATGATTATTTGTTTGTTTTAACTTCATTTTATGCTCATTATTTAATAAACATGTGTTCAGATAGTTCCATTAGCAAGTACAACCAGTGTATCAACAGTTACTTAACAACACATCTAATATAACTAGAAAAATCCAACCTCTAGATATTTTTAGCCCAAAATATTTATGCTTAAAATGTCATTTAAATAAAGTCACTGGTTTCAAGTAGCATTTATATAAACATCATGAAGTGAATTTGACTTCAAACAGACAACATATCATTGACATTTACATAATTTTCTAATGCTAAATTTTCATATTATAAATGACATAAATTTGAATTTGGCCATATTTTTAGTTTCTTCAGGCTGATTTCAAGTGTACGTAATATGTATATTTAGATTTTTTGACTTATGAAACCTTTATTTACGCTGTAAGAGACGATTCAACTTGTGCCTATCATTTAAGAATAACAGAAACTTTATACGATTTTAGAACGTTGATACTTACAAACATGAGCACTATTGATGATGATTGTTCATTGTTAAAATAACTTTTCGTGAGGCTGCTTGAAAACTTCATCTTCAAACTTTTAGACTTAGTTTTTTGAGCTAATCAATAATTTTCAATTCTTAAGGAAAACGCATGTTGATGGACGATACGATTTCTTAAAGCCAAGTATAAAAATCATGTGTTCCCTGCAAACAATTGCCAATTTATTTCTAATGACCCTTGTTTGAAACGCCTAAGCTCCATTTTACTTCACTATGTACCATTTAGTCATGTTATTTAATATCTTTTCAGTTGGATGGCGAAAACTTTCCACAACAACTGCATTCTTGAAGTGTGTGTTTTTATTTTTGCTAAAATCAGCATCGATCTGGGGAAGGAAGGGCTGATTATTGAGATGTAGTAGATAATCAAGCTTTTTCCCCTCTTCACAATTTGTTTTAATTTGACGAATTTGAAAAATTTTGCAGACCGTATGCTTTTTAGCAAACCGTAGAACGAAGAAACATAATTTTAATTCTGTAAGACTTCACAGATGAATTTCGCACACCAAAACTGAGTTTTTAGATTCATTATCCGTAATCCTCTCATAATATTTTGGAATTTACGAATGATGCTCATACCTTTGATCCTTGGTCCTTTCTTGAATCTTGCCCAGGGTTTGTAGAGAGATCCATTACTTATTAAGTTGATTCTTGCCGCCCGAAGCCTACTGGCGCGCTAAGGTTAGCGCATTTTTGGTCTTTTTTCAAATGTTCTCTATAGTAGTTTTTACTTCGAGTAGGTCTTGTAGGAATTGAAACCTGTTGCTTAGAGCTATCTTGAATCTGTTGAGTTTGTCAGTATCTTCAAGGAAGGTTGTATTAAATCTTTGTTATGCTGTTTTTCTAGTTGTTCAGTGCTTCTTTAGCTTCAGTTTCAATTTTATAACAATCAGTTGGTGATCTAAAGCTATGTCAGTCTTCCTCTTTATTCCTATGTCTCCCACTGACCTGAATCTTTCAGTGATGCAAATATGATTAAGAAGAGTTGCATGTAAAATAGTGCTGCACAATTAAGGTCAAGTCATAAACTCTGGGCATGCTGATTTTCCTCCACGTGAAAAATACATGGGTTTTTGTCTCACATTATAGAAATCACTTTTTTGTTACGAATTCTAACTGACTATTTCAATATTCTACGTTTCGGAGCAGGTGGATTTATAATGTTCAATACATTCTGTATAAATTGTACGAGCTGCTCGGTTATTTCAAAGTACAGAGTTTAAAGAGGGATTTTCTGTTGCTTAAAAAGGCGTTAGTTAATATGTACCTATAATAGATAAAGTGTTTGTCGAAATCAGCTTAATACAATAATGTTACTTTTGGGATGCAATGAAATAAAGATTTAAGAATACGTCGAGGTGGTAATTACAGGCGCGACTGTGTCTAGAATAGTTATGAAGTTAAAGATTTCATTGCAAAGGCAATAAAAGTCTGAAGACTTCTTAACTTTGATTAGCAAATGCAGTGCGATAATGTTTTTCTTAATATATTGGACATTTTGTTCCGTACCAATAGCACAAGCAAAACGTTTCACTCATAACTCCTAGCTGTAAAGATAGTTTTACAGCTAAAACATTGTGTTTTGAGTTTTTAGCACTAAAAGATCATTGAAAAAAGTTTTATGATGTTTGTAATCATTGAATTGACAAGGTGATACTGTTAACTTACATTGTGTAGATGACAAAATTCCACACCTCGAATGACTTGAAATAAAGTGCGTTTTGTGCGCATTTCGTCAATTCCATTAGGGTGTTTTTCTAAGTCATCTAATATAGTATTGTCCACAAACTCAAAAACAAGATATAGACGTTTCTTTCGTCGAAAAACTTCCAAAAGGTTTACCAAGTTATCATGACGAAGTTGCTAAAAATATTATTTCGTAAAACGATTTACTTTTAACATTCTTATTTCACGAAGTGCTATCTTTTTAACATGTTTATCATCCTCGCTGTCAATAAATTTTTTAATCGCCACAATCCTTCCAGACTCTTTATTTTTGCACTTGATAACCATTCCATAACTTCCTTCTCCAACTAGCCCTAGATTTTCGTACTTTTCCATTTATATCATATTAGTTAAAATCCAACAGACATAGCGAAATCACCTTTGTACATACGACTTACGAGGCACAGTGACCGGAGCGTTTAAACAACGAATTCAAACGGTTCAAATGGTTGTGGACGGAATAGAAGCTTTCGCTTAACAGGCTTCCGTGTCTAGTTACAGGGGGTCACCAAATCTTTCAGGCAGGAACCCGAGTATATTAACAATAAAAGAGGAAAAAGAAATTGGTAAATCATAATGTGATGCTGTCCTTGGTCCTTATGAATAGGTCAAGTTGCCTCTTGAAGGACTCCTGAGAAGTCGCTTGGACTAGCTCGGCCGGCAGCGAATTCCAGCATTTGACAACTCCTAATGAGTAGAAGTTATGTCTACATTCCGTCTTGCTACGTTGTGTTTCCAGTGTCTGGGTGTTACCCCTTAGGTTATTATTCGAACTAAGCTTGAGTAGGTGTTTAAGATGATGTCCAGAATTGTTAAGAATACTATAAGCCATTAACAAATCACCTCTAAGACGCCTATACTCTAATGGGTAAAGGTCTAGTGAATGGAGGCGTTCTTCGTAAGGTTTAGATTTGAGTCCTCGAACTGATTTCGTGGCTCGCCGTTGGATACGCTCCAGGGTGTCCATATCCTTTTGGAGTGAGGGAGGAGATACTATGTTTCCGTACTCTAAATGGGGACGGACGAAACTATTGAAGGTTGTATGGAAAGTTCGTCCGTCAAACTGTCAGAAAATGCGCTTCAACGTTACCAGTGCAATGTTTGCCTGGAAGGCATTTTTGTCGCAGTTAGTGTAAGACTTCAAATCATGGGGCACCAGGACTCCTAGATCTTTTTCGACTTGGGATACTACTAGAGAGGAGTTTCCTAACTTGTAACTGTAGTCTGTGACATGTCGCAGATGGACTACTTTACACTTTGAAGTGTTAAAGGTAAGTCCGTTATCGTCTGTCCAAATTGGAAGTCGAGTCAAATCCTCCTGAAGTGTCTGTATATCGTCTTGATCGCGTATCTCTCTCCAAAGTTTCACATCATCGGCAAAAGCAATAAATCTGACGTAACCTGTTGAGGAAGATCATTTATGTAGATCAAGAATAGAAGAGGTCCTAGTACTGACCCCAATAGGACATCCCATGGCCTGAGATAAAGTGAAGTTAACCCTGACCTTAAATTGTCGATTTTTCAGATATGAAGTAAGCCCATCGATTAGAGGTGATATGATACCCAATCGTTTGAGCTTATTGATAAGTCATATATGGTTAACCTTATCAAAAGCTTTCGAGAATTCTAGGTAGATGATATCAGCCTTCCATTTGTGATGGAGGATGCTTGTCCATCTGTCCACCGCAGTCAGCAGGTTGGTTATACAAGAGTAGCCCTTCCTCAAACCATGCTGTTGGAGTGAGAAGAAATTTAAGGACAGTAACTAGTCATTTATACCATCGCATATCAGGGACTCCATGATATTTGAGGGTATGGAGAGAAGAGCCACCGGTCGGTAACTTGAAGGTTCGCTGCGTCGACTTCCTTTGAAAATTGGTGTGATGTGAGCCAGTTTCCAACTTTCCGGTAGTTTGCTTCGGCTTAGCGAGTGTGAAGACATCGCGCTAAGCGGCGTTGCCAGGATTGAGACTTGTTCCCTCAGTATGGCAGAATGGACCATATCTGGGCCAGGAGAAGTGTCTATTCTTAAGTGCTGCAGTTTCTGGAACACGAAGTCAGAGCTCAGGTTCATTTAGGAAAGACCTTCGGAGTTGCAGATGAAGCTTTCATCAGTATAGTTGATGTGGGTTGGTTGAAATGTCCGAGAGTATTGTTCGGTCAAAATTTTAGTGGCGTCGCCGTCGTCGTTGGTCGGGCCATTAAGACCTAGCAGTTGGGAAACTCCAGTTTCGGCTTGACGAAAAGAGGCTGTATAACGGAATGAGCTTTTCGGATTGGGGGCAAATTTGTCCATAAGCTTTGTCTGGTACTGAAGCCTATCTTCTCTTATAGCCTTCGTGTATATGTTCCTTATATGTTTGTATTGCGTGTACGCTCCGTTGTTGTCAGTACGTTTGTATTCCACCCAACAGTGCCTTTTGCGGCTTAGCCTGCGAAGGGTACGACTCTTGATTATTGTAGGTGGCTTGCAGCTTTTGGGAACCATTTGAAGAACTGAATGGTTTGTAGCACATAAGAGCGTGTGCAGTAATAAGTCTCAATGACCGTCCACATCGAGTTGAGGGTGAATATCCCAAACCACCTGTTGCATATAGTCGTGCAGAGCTTGCCCATTCAAACGTTTAAAATTTCAACGAAAGTTATTAGTGGGATACCTTAGCTTAGTTTTGCTGACAAAACTGAAGGCTATGACTGCATGATCGCTTTTTCCCAGCGGAGCCAGGATTGAGAGGTTGTCTACTAGGAATTCTTCGTTTGTGAATACACAGTCTAAGTGCGATGGTGTCTGACTGTTTCTCCGACGAGTTGCCGACCTCAAGTTTTCGTATTATCCCGAGAGAGATCGAGGGATATTAAATTCTTCTAGAAACAGGATGTGTGCGAAACCTAGACGAGTAGTGCGGGATAGTCCTTCCAGCATACGACTATGATACTCGATGTCGATGGCTTCCTGTAAATGACTCCGGATAATGAAGAGAAATTTTCCTTCCTTCCACGGGGCGACTGTAATTCTCGAAGCATTTTGTGCCAACAGACTCCAGTTGCCGACTGGAATCCATATGCAACGCGATAGGACACATTATGTCAGGATCATGCGAAAAAACAAATTGCAGGTTACCATTCCAATTCTAGATCATAAAAAAACGAGGAAAGAACAGGAGCTACTAACTTGGAAAAACCTGTCTAGGTAGGTTACCTGCTCATTCATATAAGAATCATACGGATGAAAAGGGTGGGGAATCTTACGTGCTTCAAATTGAAAGCATAGACTTTTTATCCATGAACGCCGCGAGTTTGTCGAATAAAATGGATGAGCAGCGTGAACTCAGTAGTGCTAATAACACTCATCTGATAGTAATATCTGAAACATGGATATCTTTCCAGATAGGAGTTAGCAATGCCCGGCATGTATTTGTTTCCCAACGACATAAAAACAGGAATGGGGAGGCGGTATAGCCTTATACCTACGATCTTGCTTGTAACTACATCAAGTGTACAACCAAGAGTTTATCAATCTTGATGAATCCGTATGGTGTTCTGTAAGACTGTAAACCAACTCAATGCGTTTAGTTGGTGTTATCTAAAGGAAGCCCATCGCTGACATGGAGTAAGACAATCGTATGCCAGAAGGATTATCCCGCTCTACTCGTTTCCGATTCACACATATCGTGATTCTCGTAGATTTCAACCTTCCTAAAGTCCATTTCTCTGAACATACGTAAATCGGAGGTGAAAACTACTGGAGCTCGCTTCTTAAACCTCATTAAAGCTCAGGGATTATTTGAAAAGATAAAACAGAATTCACTATCAGATAAAGCTTATGGATAAATTTGCCCCCAATCCGAAAAGCTTATTCCGTTATGCAGCCTCTCTTCGTCAACCCAAAACTGGAGTTTCCCAACTGCTAGGTCCCAACGGTCCGCCCAACAACGACGGTGACGTTGCTAACCCTCTGGCAGGACAATAATCTCGTAAATTTCGACTGACATATACTAACTACATTGATGAGAAATTCACATGCAACTCCACGGGAATTTCAAAAGTGAATTTGAGCGCTGACTCGATGTACCGGAAACTGCAGCACCTGAAAAAAGAAACCCTCTGGTCCGGATATAGTCGATTTTGATATACTAAGTGAAGCAGCTTCAGCCTTGGCAACGCTGCTTAGCATGCTGTTCCCACACTCGCTTAGCCGAAGCAAACTACTGGAAATTCGGAAGCTGGCCCACATCACACCAATTTTCAGAGGAGGTCGACGCAGCGAACCTTCAAGTTACCGACCGGTGACTTTTGTCTTTTTACCTTCAAAAATTATGGAGTCCCTGATATGCGTTGGTATGCACGACTATTTATTATCTTTTAACTTCTTGTCACCCCAAGAGCGTGTTTTCAGTAAGTTATCCTTCTATAACAGACTTGCTGACCGCAGTGGACAGACGAACAACCATTTTGATCGCAAGAGGGCGGTTGATGTCATTTACTTTTAATTCGCGAAAGCTTTTGATAGGATCAACCATATATGTCTTATCAATGAGCTAAAACTATTGGGTGTCAAATCACCTTCAATTGATTGCCTCATTTCATATCCAAAAAATTGACATTTTAAGGTCAGGGTTAAATTCACTTTATCTCTGGCTATGTAATGTCCTAGTGGGGCCCCCAGGGCTCAGTACTAAGACGTCTTCTGTCCTTGAGTTATATAAACCATCTTACACAACAAGTGCCATCTGACTTATTGCTCTCCACTGATGATGTGAAGGCTTTCAAGAGGATTGTTCAACCATGAGGGTGGACTAGCACTTGAGGAGGATCTGACTCGACTTCAAGGCTGGACAGACGACGACGGCTCTAACTTTAACACTTCGTGGTGTAAAGTAGTCTATCTGAGACATGTTGCAGACTGCAACTAAAACTTAGATAACTCCCCCCTACAGATATTACCGGTTGAAGATGATCTAGAAGTGTTGGTACCCTACGATCTGAAGTCTTACACTAACTGCAACAAAGTGCCTTCCGAGCAAACCTTGCAGTGGTAACGTTGAAGCGATTTTCGGCCAGTTAGACGGAAAAACTTTCCACCTAATCTTCAAAAGTTTTATTCGACTCAATTTACAGTACGGAACCATAGTATTTACTTCCTCACTCCAAAAGGATAAGGATGCTCTTTAACATACCCAACAGCGAGACACGAAATCAGTTTGGGACTCATGTTCAAGTCTTATGAAGAGTACCTCCAATCGCTGAACCTCTGCCCATTAGAAGACAGGCGTCTAAGAGGTGACTTCCTAAAGACTTACGGGATATTTAACTCTTCTGAACATCCATAATGTTTCTCAGTATTTGAATTATCGTATGAACTGGGAATCCCAGAATTAACGTAATCTAATCAAAAACTACTACACAAGCACAAACGAATGTATTGTATTTGGAGATCGAAATCGAGCAATCAACAAGTACAAAGGTATCATTAGTTCGTTCAAACACCACAACGTCCTCTTAAACCCCCATCCAAGCTTAGTCCCAACACGCGCCTTGGAGGTAGCACCCAGGTACCGGAGACAAAACATAGCAAAACAGACTGTAGATGCAACTTCTCCTCAAGAGAGGCCAAATGTTGAAACTCGCTCCTGGATGAGCTAGCCCAAGCGACTTCAAATGAGTCGTTTAAGAAAAAACTTGACATATACTTAAAGACTAAAGACAGTATCTTACTGATTTATCAACTTTTTTTCTTTTCCCGCCTTTATCAATAATATATGTAGGTTCTTGCCTGGAGGTATATGTGATCCACTGCTACTGGATACGGATTGCCCGTCAAGCTGAAGCTTCTTCTATTCCGTCCAGAACCATTTTAACCATTTGAAGGCCACCTTTGTTTTGGCGCGAACGTCTGGAATGGAACAATGCAAGGTAGAACGTAGTCTCCATTTGGCACGTCGTCAGCAGTGTGCGTGTTTAATTCAGGAAATTGGGTCAAGGTTGCAAACGTAAGTTTTTACTGAAGTAGTGTGTATCCCTGTCTGCTTCATACAGAACACAGGTGGTCATAAATGCAGGCATATATTACATGCACTACTTCTACGAAGTTTTCTCTCCAGAAACTATCAAACCGATTTTAGTCGCAATAGCTGCCTTTTATTGTGCATGCAAGACAGAGGAATTTTCTAGGAAACTATCTTTCTTGATCAAGGCTGCGTATGATATTTTGAAGAGACCGGCACCTGATGAGGGGTCAGATGCATTCAAGAGACTCGTTCAGAATGTTCATGCTTTAGAGGCTACTATTCTTATGGTCATTGGGTTTCACACTCTTGAAGTCAAACAACCACATGTGCTACTCATTAAGGCTATTCGCGCAAATAAATTCCCGAAGGAAATAGCTCATACGAGCTACTATGTCTGTACTAATATACTGCATCTCACCACTTTAGTATTACGACATTCTGCAGAAGCGATTGCTGCTGCTAGTCTTTACATTGCGGCGAAGTGGAATGGAACAGACATCCAGTCGTCAAACGGGGATTGGTTCCATATTTTTTCCCCGATGCTGACTTTTGAGGAAATCTCTAAAATAACAGACGAATTCACCCTTACTTTCCAAGAATGCGATTTAAAAATCAGAGAGCAACTGCGCTGTTCGCTTCGAGTAAGTCATTTTACTTCAGATATAGTATCTAGTCCCGAAAGTTACAAAGAGAACGAAGAGATGATCCTGTCAATAATCCTCCTCGAACTCAAGAGCCTCAGAGGAGACCAGTTCCTGATTCTCAGCAGAAGGCTGATTCTTGGAAAGTAAGTCCTAAATAATATTTTTACGGATGTTTCAATGAGTAATCTAATTTGTTCAGTCGTTTTTGAAGCTCCTGTTTACGAAAAATGATATCATAGTATTGCATTCAGATTGGGTGACCAATGGTATTTGTTTGTTGCAACTCAAGCGTATCTATCTTCGGATTGTATCATCAAAAAGATAAGTTATCAAGGTGACCATTTTCCAACTGGAAACCCGTTTGTGAGTGCTGATAAAATTGATGGGCATCACCGTCATAAAAACTGAGTTTTAGCGAATACTATCTCCATTGTCGCGTTTATTACCAAACAGATATCAGTATCATTTTATGACTAGAGATGGTGTAGCTGGTTATAAATTCGCTTGATATTTCTGACAATAGTTCTGATATAATATTTTGTCACGATAAAATGTTCTGGTACCAACGTTTCTTGGTACTTGAACAGAGCCAATATATCTTTCGAAAAGCGTTTATTTATTTATTTGAACATATAAATATTGGCACAATGGGGCGCTGAATACATATGGGCCATACAAGTCACTTCATTTTTGTATGGGCTGTGATACTGACCGGGTGCTTAGAGCGAAGCAAATGGTTTTCTTAGAGGGCCATGCCCGGAGCATTCGATCTTAAGGTCTGGTTCACAAGGCAGTGGAGCAGCGTCAGAAGATGCGGTCACATGGCAGCCAGTGACCAACAATAAGTTCATACTCCATTTGTTCCTTCAGGATCCCGGAGCCCATGTGCACGATTGGTTTGGAATCACGGCTTTCAAACCGCCCGGTTGAAGCGTCGGACATTCGCTTCCCATCCTCTCTATTTCGTAAACAACACCCTCATCGCGAGAAGGCAATGAGCAGGAATTTCCTGACAGTGGCCATGTGAGAGCATTTCAAGAGGGAGAGAGATCTCTCCACCCTCGGCTGCATTTCGGGGGAAAAACGTTAAAGATAAAAGTTTCCGTTGAGGGATCATGTGGCGAATTCTTATTCACGACATTATTTATAACGTAGAATTTCTGTTACAGCTATTTTAAATGAATGTAGTACACAGATAAAGTCAGTACTGTGCAACTGTGAGAGAGGGAATGGTGATTTCATCTTTAATATGATCCAAAATAATATTTGGCAAAAAGTTAATTCACTTGAAGAGAGCAGCTAAAACGGTGTTTTTTTTCGATAAGGGGTTCATTTTACTTTTAGAGTGTTATAAAGGCTCCAACAGGATCACTTTTCTCAGCCCATGCCCAATCACGTCTCAAACCAATCAGTTGCATGGTCGTTAGTATTCCACTCAGAAGTTCTTGGCTAACCGAAGGAAATAAGCTCTATACATCTATCTTTTATACCACTACGTATTGTTAAGAGCCGACATGCTCCACTTTTCCTACCTAGGTTGAGTAAAAAAAAACTCAATGTGGAATTCACTAGGTTAATATTTGTAAAACATACGCAAGCTATCTAGTATTCTAAATACTTATGCCTATCGAGTTATTATTAACGGATATGAATACTGCTAAACGTTGGCATTATTTACACATTGTTGTATGCAACCTTTCGTGGACGGTGATAATCGAACACAATTCCTGCACATCCTCAGCTTAGAAAGGAAAGATTTCGTGACATTTCCAAGAAGTAGCCTTGGTAATGCTACTTCTACAAACAAAGATCGTCAGACAGTCTTGAAATCGTGGTATTGTAGAATTGGGTTTAAAGTTTTAACGTTAAAACAGCATCCCTACATTGTGGTTACTGGTTTGATGCGATTATTCAGGATCACCCATATATTAGGTTGTATCTTAGAGAGGTATTCCTACTTGCCTGCCTAATGACCATCTGTTTTTCAAGTTCCTACCATCTCAACTGATGATTTAGGCTTTGACGTTTTCAACCAGTAGTTAACATGTTTAAACCTCACTTTATGTGCTTCGCTTTATTCATCCGGTTAGTATCGCTATTGCTCATTCAAACCAGCCTGAAATCGGGTACATGAATATGAACAGTTTAGTTATTTAACAATCATACGACAAAAATGTATGCATATTATTGGTCCATAAATGGATCCCAATGGCTGCCTATTTTACTTTGCTCTTTTTAACGTAGACAGAGAAAAGACCATACGGTTCGACAAATCCTAGTGCAGCTCAAGTCCCATCTCAACATCCAAATCATCATGCTCGAAGTCATGCTGGTGGCTCCCAGAATACACAGATGAATCATCCGTATCATGGACACAATCGGGCCCCACAATCACATGTTTATGGGAACGAACATTTCAATAGATCTCATTCCAACCGTCCTCCAGGTCCTGGGAATAATGAACCAGATCCTAAGCGTCAGAGATTTGATCGCCCATACCCAAATCAGTGTCAACGATCACCACAACCCCACTTGCCTGGTGGACATCATCCCGACGGAACAGCACGTGTAAGTCGTGTGTATGCATGTCAGTCGTGATAATTTGAGTTCTATCACCTTATTGGGAAGGTAATGGGATTTTAAATAGTGTTTAAGTTTGAAGCTTTTGGTATACTATTTTGATGAATATGAAGTAATAACTATGTGTGATAACAAAATTGTCATTGGTTCGTTCCCTCTTTTAATACGTTATTTTTTGACGTTTTCCATGACCATCCTTATACTGTATATATACTTTTGAGTTGTGTGTCTGTTCGTTCGTGCTTTCGACTGCTTGTAGAATATACTTTTCTCTCGGCCGAATCTGGTCTTCTCTCTAGTTATCAGGGCTGGGGCGCAGTGAATAGTTTAGCTAGTTTTTTCGTTGTCTTTCTGAATCTTTGTTCCGTTCGCCGATTTCAGCTGATTTCGTAATCTCTTCAAACATAGCAAAGAAAAGTACCTCTTTATTTTCTCCAACGCATTCGTGGTTAATAGTCTGCAAAGCAGTTTTGGGATCCAAACTTCCACTGGATATTGTGACGTTAACTTGAATACACAACTCAACACTTAGTAGTTATCAGTAAGTCATTTAAGGCATATCCGAATATGTGTATAAGTCATTTCAAGGGATTCTATTATTCCATCTAGGATTTTTGATGATCAGTACGTACAATTACAAAACACAAATAGTATGTATTTCCACTTCATCTTATTAAGTTTCTGTTCATAAACCGTAAATTATTTTAATCTTCTTAAAACTAAGTACTCTTTGAGAGGTTCTGATATGCTGGTAACATAGAAAACCTCATAAATTCTATACTAAGCAGGAGCGGGAATATGAAATGGAATATATGATAGTCAAAAGCTGTCTCTTTTAAGTGAAAAACCAGTGGTAAACATCTTATGGAAATTAGATAATCTAATTCGTTCTATCAACTTATTGATACATCATGGATGATTGTTAAAATAAAAAGCCATACTTTTCTGTTGGTTTCATTTTACTCGACGGTAGACGTGTTTGTTTGGATGTGTGGTTGCTCATTTACTAAAATATCCTCAAATTTTTCCAAATGTGTAGTGGTGCAGTCTGATTAAATAAATAAAGTTTTATTTGCTGTGTTATAATCGGGTGCTAAAAAACAGATTTATTAAAAATTCTGGTGTTCATTTTACAAATTATTTTTACTTACATTTTCATATTACCATTATTCAGAATAAGAAATAACTACGAAAAAAACATGTGTAACATAAGTGGCGGTCATATAATCAACACATACTATAGTTATGGTTATAACTAGTAGTCTATAAACGTTTTATTGCATGAAGTAATGTCTCGATGTTTCTCTTACTCTTCATAAACTCAATTCCATTTAAAATTTATAAAAGAGCTTACTTCAAATTTATGATAGTCAAGATAAGAGTAATGCTTAAACTAATAGTGTAATAATGATGGATAGTGGCTAGCAGACTGCTCAATTGCAGTCTTAAGTCTCAATGGGAAGATACAAGCCAAAACAATACCAAGTGAATTTAAATTCACCCCATTGGACAAGCAAGTGGCTATCAGGACTCAGTAGCTGAGTGGATAACGTGATGGCGTTTGAGGTGAATGTTACTGGGTTCGAGTCCCCGAGTGAACATCAACTCTAAGATGCAGGTACATCCAGCTGACGAGTCCCAAGTAGGATGAAACGCGCGTCTTGGATTCCACTGCTAGTCACTATCCATCATTGGTTAAAAAAACTTGTGAATTAAGGCAATATCGAGGCATACACACAGTATGCACATATGCCAATAACAGACTGATCAATTGCAGTCCTAAATCTCAATGGGAAGATACAAGCCAAAACAATAATTAGTGAATGTACTAGTGTAATATTCTACAATGTTATATTAAAATTTTACGAACTTATTATTTATACTCAATATACAATTTTTTTCAAAAGTATTTTAAAGTAAAAAGATTAAACCAATAAAATATTTTTGTGTTCGATAATAAATAACACAAATTCTTGCTATTCCGAAATAATCTTTTTTTATTGATTTCATGAGATCTGGGGTTAACCTTTAATAGTTTAAGTAACAATTAAGTCATTATTTTTTCTCTAAACATATTCCATGATTATTTTTCTTTCAAAGAATATGTCACTTTATTTACAATGTAATCAAATAGAGAATAAGACGCTAGTAATCGGCTTATGAATTAGAATCAAAAATCTCTATCTTTATGACTTAAGTATATTCACAATTAGAATTGTAATCAAATGAATTTATATGACAAACATGAAAAAAGTTTTTTATCTGGTGAAAAAGTATAATAATAAAATTTTAAACCTTGAGTTTATGTGGATTTGAACTCATTAGAACATATCTATACTACTGAAGGAAGTGAGTATTCAAATTCGTGTTAACAACTGTCACTTTTAAAAATTAAAGTTACTCAAGAATAGCTAAAACCAACCAGTAGTTAATATGTTTAATTGGCACTATGCAACGCAGGTGATTTTATCTGGGGAGTGCGTTTCAAGTTTGGAATCATGGAGTTAAAAGTCGGCTTCTAAATCATCCTTCCACTTTTTACTGCTCATATGTTTTGCATTAAATTTATCATATTTGTGAAGAGAATCCCAATTTCGCGTCATCTATTATACTTTTAAAAGCCGCATAGTATTTCCTCAATTATAATTGTTAATATTCAGCTGATATAGATTATGAAGCCAGAGTAAGAAAGGACGAAAAAAAGAAATGTCTTTTCACTGTCACCGTATACGTCCCAATAGATGTTCACCTGGATATAACCGAGGATGAGTTCCTTCACCGACGGGATTACCTTTTGTGATATCTGGGGACTTCAATACGTAGGCCAGATGTTTAAGTACGAGGAAGTTATCCAGGATGTTGACAAGTGCTTGTTGTTCATAAGTCTAATTTCGGTCATTAACGACGCCGGATACAATCATTTTCGATATATCAACTTGCTTTTTTCCTTTGTAGCTCAATCCTTTACCCAAAGAGCTCTAATCGCAACTAGCTGCCAATAGTGTAAATATCTGAAAGATTTCTAATCTTCTAGTATCACTCGTCTGTGTTCTATCTGTGATCTAGTACGCTCTGAGTTCATTGAGTGTCCCAATAGTCCAAGTATGGCGGATTTCAGAGTAGCTCATGCTAATCTGCTTCACATTAATGTGATAAAAATATATAGTGTACCTAACGCTGTAGTGTCAGTATCACTTTTCAGAGCTAAGAATGCTTAGTGACCCTGTGTTCGATCGTCTTTGCTTACATAAGATGGCAATACTGAATAGCGGCTGGAGATAATCATGCTCTCGTTTCCTTTAATGTCCCAATAATATTATTTTCATCTTGTTCTTGAATATATATCTCCACTTTATTGTTGAGTCTTTCTTTTTCTGTGTAGTGCATTTCTCAATGCTTTGTTTTACCAAGTCATTTTTAATACTCAGTAAATAAATGTCCTGCTCGTATACTCTAAATATGGTCCATGATCTAGTGTAATAAAACTGTACCTAATAAGTCACACTAATTTGTAACGTATATTACTATGTAATCTTACAAAGTAATCCCATAATTGCCTGAAGTAATTGGGGAATTTATGGTAAATATGTTTGAAACACTTCTACTTATCAGTCAGTCATGATCAACTAAGAACCTGGTACATGTATCTATCGGTTAAACTTGCCACACCATACAACTGCGAAATGAAATTACTAGAACAAATAGAAGGGTAGTAGAAGTAGTAACAGTGTCAATGGTTGTAGTAAAAACTAGAATTAGGTAATATGATTCGAAACGAAATAGTGAGTTCGCTGAATAAAAGTATAAGTTGATTCTAAATTTTACGATCTAAGGGAAGACAAAGACTGAATACACATATACCAGTGCGGCCCATTTTAAGTTATATAACCCTTCGTCTCCAATTGTTGGTTACAATAATTGCACGAATCTCGATAAGATAGTCTACAACTACCACCACGGCACATTCTAACTACTAGTGACTTCATTGACTGTTGCCACGTTTCGATTCCATCTTCTCTAGCTTTCTTCCAACCTACTCCTACAATAGCCAATATGAAATGTTTGTAGGTAACGGTCCAGGTTAAATAACAAATATCCGAACCATAGGTGATTCGGACATGTACTACATATTTATGGTAGATGTAGACTCTTTAGTTGATGTTCACCTGATGACCCCCAATCAGCGACTGGAGACTTTGGATAATATAGCTCAGGACCGTTCACAACAACGCAGATGCATTCATCTCGTTCTTGAATTACAGTATCCCTTCAATCATACCTTCTCTATCTTTCTAAACCGTAATTTAAAGGTTTGATTTTTCATTGTTACATTGTCTCGATCTCTTTTGGTTTTCATTTTATTGTGCTAATCTGGTACAGCAACTTGGTTTAACATATATCTTTGCTGGGTTTTATTTTGATGCTTGTCTGTCCCAACAACCTCAGTTGAGAAAGATTCACAACCTCATCAACTGGTGTGTCGTGTTTGCTTAATAAACTTCGTCTAACCTCAACATTACTTACTTGGTAGTTCCAACGTAATCAAGCCATGCCTCAAACGGATCAGTGATTAAGTCCCAGTAACCCAAGAACATTCTCTTTTTTTGAAAGTTACGTTTCTCATACAGAAGGGACGGAACGAACTTCTAGTCCTTTGGCTAGCAGATAAACACCGCTTACGTCACAGGTGACCCAGACTGGAGAAAAAACCTATTGAGCTTTTGTATTCGATCCCAATTTCCACATACAATTAGTTTTAATGACATTTTCACTCGCATTCTACGGGTATATATTCAACACTAAGTTCCTTATAGTTTGCAGCGTCATGATAAAATTAATAATTACATAGAAAGGGAATGAACTAGTCTCAATAAGAGTGAATAATAAGTTTACAGTCTTCTTAGACGCACTCACTATAAGTTTTCTTTTTGATAGATAACTAATGAATTCTAGGTTTTACATTCACTGTTTTTTTAACATTAAAATTAAGTAATTAGTTCAGTCAGGTGTTCAAGAAAAGTATGGTCGCAACATACACATATACAATTTATCATTTATGCTCATTATTCTTTGTCTTTGAACTCAGTAAATAAAGTTGTAATTTACAAGATAACTTACTATTTCTACGTCTTGACTAAAAACGGTTGTTCTTGGAATGCATTTTGCACTTCTTATACTAGTAGTACACCAATTGAACAGTTTTGATAATCAGAAAATATTCATCACAGTTGTAATGAGAATACTATTTGTAGTAATCACCAATGTGTGTGTTGATCATTCCAGTGCTTCAGTTTATTTAGTTAATAAATATTTCTATTTCAAACTCATTTTCTGTACTAACTTGAGTATTTTCCACACTTAAAATAACACTAAGGTTCTAACTTTTGGGATATTTTATTAATAGTATGATGTTCTTATGTGAAGAAAAAAACTAATTTTGTTGATATGAGATTATTATTTTAAACTTCATGACTTCATTTTATTATATCAGTTTGTACATATTAGCATTTATTCATCAAGCGTAAATTACAAACTCACATTCTAAACGGCTTAGTTGTTAAAACCCTAAAATTGCGTTACGATTTAGTAACCCACTCTATCTACTGTTTGGACACGTTAACCGTATCTCTAACTCTTAAAAATCAGTCTATCTAAGAGATCACTTAGGTCTTTAACCGGTTACTGTGTTGCATTATTTTTGTATTGTTTCTCATGATATATAGTTTTTTGTTCGTAGTACATTTATCATACTTTTACGAAAGCTTACCTGCAAATAAATTTAGGCAAGTCGTATGGAGAGTTCTGTCTCTCATTCTGGAGGTGGCGAACACAAAGTACACTATCCATCTGCTAATCGTATCCATGGAACAGATTACAGGATGGCACAATCCACTGGTTACAATGCTGTTCCGAATAAGGTTTGCAAGATTGATCTTAAAATCTTATTTGTTTTTTGTATTGTGATATGTATTCATAATTTCGCTACACAAGAGCATAGATTCCCTTTTCGTTGCAGCTATTGACAATTCATAAGTATAAAATTACAATGACGAATATGCTTCTACTTTTTAGTAAATAAAGTCTATAAATAAAATCGTGGCATGTTATACATATGTATTAGTGGAGGTCTTTTGTAATTTAAGTAGGCATTTGATCAGCCTTCATCTGTATATTCTTATTGAGCGTGTATAATATATATATATATATATATATATATATATATATATATATATATATATATATATATATATATATACGAAGTAATGGTCACTGAGTCTCACTTAATGAAAGCATCATAGCTAAAATGAAGACAAATTTTTATGAACAGTCATAAGTATATTAAGATGAACATTTTCGATCCGTTTAATTGGCATTATCAGCTTGTAAATATCACCTATATGAACACGTTCATTCATAGATCCAGTATTATAACGAAACCTGATAAACTTAGCACCACAATATTAGTAAGAACAAGATCAAAACAACAATTTATAATAGTTCAGATTTGTTTCTTTACTTTGGATTTCATATTGTTTAGCATTACACTAGATGTATCATAACAACCATATTTTTTTATTGAACTAATCAATAAGTTTTTTATTTATTTAGTAAAACCTTTCGTAGGTAATATGGTCTATTGTTCTTTCTCGTTCAAAGTTCTCGATGTCTGTAACCACAGTTGTGAACGCGTTTTATCTTTTTATTTCTTAAAAGCAACCTTACGGACGAGATGAACATGAAGACTCACGTCTTAACTCAGGGAATCTTCGTTCTGTAAAACCAGCTGGTCATCCACAAGGAAACACACGAGTGAAACCTGATCTAAATGACTATTTTTGAATAGTTACTGGATTAATATAGTTTTACATGGTGTTTTTTTGTTGCATTCCTAAATTTCCGTATACAGATAGCGTTGTACATATGTCAAACTGCTTTTTTCCGTTTAAAACTATACCTACTTGCGGTTTGTTGACTCAAAACTGTCAGTTCCCCTTTCGTATTTGTCTAGTCTTTAGATAAACTGTAAAGTCTTTCTTCTCCCATTACTGTGTTTATCATTAGTGCATGTTTTTCTTGTTTTCGCGCAAGAATTTTTATATTAATTGCTTTTATACGAATGTTTGGTACTTTTGTCTATTTCTTACTACAATTGTGTAGCTATTATTGTTCAATGTATATTACCGATTTTCTTTATATTGCCATTTATTTTGTAGTACATTGAACGATAAATAATAATTTCCGGTTACTAATAGATTCAAGACTTTGTTTATGTGCGCTGTACATGATGTGTGATACAACCAGTTACTAGTTAGTGTATTGAAGTTCCGGTCACGGATTTCTATATGAGATCTGATTTTTGTATAGGCTGTTTAGATACAAATACCATGGCTGTTAACTTTATGAAGTTCAGGTGACTGGTCTACTTCATAACACGGAAAATAAAAACCAATCTTGTAATTCTAGAATCTGATCTTAAAAAACGTCGGCAATAATTCTTCAAGGTGGTTTACCTATGCCGGTAACTGATTCTTCGTTGGTAAATGTACACTACATTACTTACAATAGACCAATGCCCTTCATTTTTATATCAATATTTATCGAGCACTGCTCTGTGTTGAATCTGTATTTTCAGGGTGTTCATATATGATGTATTTATTTACATTTCTATCATCAGAAATTTACTAACCATCTGCGGTGACTTCAAAAAATATCCTTACTAATTACTAAATTGTAAAACTAGGGGGTCTGTTTGTACAAACACAGCTATTCTGAACATTGTATCTGTTATAGAAACCCAGTATATTCCTCGAAAAAGTTCATTAAGAGCTTGAAAAAATTCTATCCAATGAACGTTGAGCAGAAGTGACTCAGAAACATCTAGGAAGTGTAGAGTCGCATTACTGACTTGGTGGCTACATATCCGGGTACTATTTTCAGTAGGGTTCCAGATGCTCAAGTTCATCTGAAAAGCTATGGGTACCCACAATTTTATGTACATGAACTAATATCGGAGTGAAGCGTCCATCTAACATTCTGCACACTTTTTCTTCTATTCAACTTATGTACATTAGACTTGGGTTATTGAAGCAGCTCAGGGTACCTATTTAGTCAGAATATTCGTCAGTATTGTCGTACGTTGTTATTAATAAATTTTATTGGATTAATGCGTTGGGAAATAGGCTAGATTCCAGTTGTGATAAAATTTATCAACTGAAGTTAACTTTCCATTCCTCTTATCTCTTATTTGTAATATTGGTATAAATCCAAAGCATGATGTAAATATTATTGTGTAATATACATTGTCATATGATCTGCTTGTTACCCGCTCATGTCTTTCTATTCATTTGGATCTATTAGTTCACATCTAGTTTGTCGATCAGTACTCAATATGCGCTTGTTATTTTACTTATGAATTGAGTCCATTCACTAAAACCATCCGCACTTGTTTCCAAAGTTAAGCTTTGATAACTGCTTTTACGGAAGGCAAGTAACGTTAGTAGTTCTTTGGTATGCATTTTTTTAAAGAAATGAGTTCCTGTTCTGTAAATTCTATTATTTAAGATTACAGAAAACTTGTGTTATAAGGTTTTCTACAAAAATCTGAGACAGAGAACTGTGCATACTGATGATGTAAGCTTTCCCTTTTTGTAAGGAGGTTGTGAACGAGGAACCTCTAAACGAAGTAACAGCTACAAATAAACATGTCTCTCAAAGTATCCTATGTCTGTACACTGATGTAAAAATGTCCATTCAGTGTAGGCAACCATAATTACAATCGAATCCCAGGAGCAGTTATTTCGATCAGACAATATAATTTCGCTTTCTATTGGTATCTATTTGATAACTTTTGTCACTTGAAGTATTTTGTAACCCAGTTGGCTTTAGTATTTGATTATTTTTCTGGTCAGTTTTGTATATATTCCTGTAATGGGCCTGTACGATAGCGTGTAAACCAAAGTAGTCTTCGGTGATCTGAATACTTTCAGCACTGATTGGGCGTGGTATTCTCGCTAACTGATGATACTCTTGTACTTGTTTGTACACTTATTACGAATTCTAAATATATTACATTCGGCCGTACTCACCTAGTTCTAACTATCTTAGAATACACTGTTACGGATATTCTTGGTAAGCAGATTAGTTCGAATACTTCTTAGTATCGCACTCATAACCCGACAGCAGTTCCGAGAAATGATCAAATCATTTCGGTGTTTTTACAGTGATTTCGGAGAAATCATGTGAAACGTTCGACTATGCAAAACAGGCCACCGGAATTATTCTGTGCTTAAGAGAGAGAGCCTGAGGTCATCTTATAAGCTTATTCAGAATGAAAATTATCAGTGCTTCACCAAACAAAACATATGCTGAGTTAATTATTGCAATGCTGCAAACAAATCTGAAGAGTCTATACTGATTTGAGGGACAGTATATAAACTAATAATTAGCAACGTAAACACTGAGATGTTAAAGGGTGTGGAGGCAGACAGTGGCAATTTAAAGGTCGAAAATAACTAATCGATGTCTACAGAACAAGCTGTGAGTCATATGTGGAGAAAATCGAACACCTCACTTTTACTTGTCCTGAAGATCTCGTGTAGAATTACCACAAAAGCTGCACGACCAAATCATCCTGATCAGGGAGAAAAATTCAACTTAAATCACTCACATGAACTAAAAAACTCTATATTATCTCAAAATCATATGAGCGCGGCACAATTCTCATTGCTGAATAAAATGGAGGCTTTCAACAAAAGACAGGCTTCCACACGAGAACAGTTTTATGATATCCACGAGTGTCTACATTAGTATGTTCCCTCAACAGGTGTAAGCCAAAGTCCACCTACCAACTCCTCTGTGTAACGGACGATAGGTAAACGAAATTGAATTTAAATGGTACTACCTAATTATGACTGATGCACACTACAGGATACTCAAGTATAAATTATCCGTGGATAACCAAAAGAGAAAGTTAGAGAGAAAATGCACATCAGGACACTTAATAGTCTTGACAACAACCATAAAGGTATAATGCTGACAACAAAAATGACAGAAAAATCCACCCACAAGAAAAACCCAATTAAGATTTTAAGACAACCAATGGAACCAAATACTTCAGTCAAACATTTCACCACGTCCGGTTGTAGTACTCGCTGGATCACCAACACAATTTGTGATGAGGAATTTCATGAATATTAAAACATTTGTGGATTCTTTCAATCACTCCATTACATCTCATATGCAACTACCGGATAAGTATAAGAGGGTTCTTAACTACATCGTCGAAGTGAAGATGTTCTTTGATGTATCAGCTTTAATCATCTCAATTGAACCAAGCTTGGAAAAGGAAACTTTATCCTTGCTCTTCACCAACGACACAAATCTCGCAAAGAACACGGAGCTTTAATGTCAAAGTTTACTAGAATTCAATTATTAATACTTAACAACACGTTTTCATTTCAACAACAACATCTACGAACCAACGGTTGGAACATCAATGAGATTAGTACAAGTAGGTTACTTACTCAATACTAATGCCTGTTACTCCCAATAGAAGCATAGGCCGCCGATCAGCATTCTCCAACCCACTCTATCCTGAGCCTTCGTTTCCAGTTCTATCCAATTTTGTTCATTTTTTTTATGTATGTCTCCTTTTCTCGACCTAATGTTTTCTTTGGTCTTTCTCTTTTCCCATGGCATTGAGGATTTAATGTGAGGGCTTGCCTTGTGACGTAGTTGTATGCTTTCCACAATGTTTGTCCCGTCAACTTCCAGAGCCTCTGCCCGATTCCTTTTCCTAGTCGGATCTGGTTTGTTCTCTCCCATAGTAGGTTGTCGCTGATAGTGTCTGTTCAACGGATCCGAAGTATCTTGCGTAGACAGCTGTTAATAAACACTAATACAAGTATGTGGCTAACCAAACTGATTGAAACAGACTCCCAATGTCAAGCGAGCGCAAGCAAACCATTTGGTTTACATTAGTTAGACCTAAAATATTGGCTGCTGTATATCTAAATTGTTTAAACGCACTATATGATTTGAAAGCTATGGTGATTTATTGGTAAGTTGTTGAATCATCCGATACTTCTGTTGGCTTGTTGCTTCTTCGAAAAAAGAAAACCAAAATTAAGAAAACAATTCGTTAATCACAATTATTCACATGATTTTTCACTGAATATTGTCTAAGGAGCAAAGAGTAGTGATTAATTGACTAAATGGGTCAATATGCCTAATTGTGCGATAGAAACGAGTCTTGAGTTTATTAACTGAAGGTCAAATACTTTTCTCATCTGTGAAATTACCCTAATGACGATGGCAGCCGTCTGATCTAGGTGCTTACTCCATTTTCTAGATATCTAAATATTTCATTCCCTAAATTTCATAAAAGCAAACATTCTAGGTTATGTCACCTATCAATTCAGAGTTCTCTCCTGAAAATTGTTATGCTGGAATCTATATTAGAATCAGTTTTATAGTTATTTATTCTGCTTGTAGAATACTGTGAATCAAACAACACAAATGTTAGGATATGTCTTGAGAAGGCCAAACTTATAGAGATTGCTATTTATATCTCATTGATAATGTTGTTTGCGAAAGCGTAAGACTTTGTGTTGATTTTGATGTTTATTACACTAACCTTATAGCTAATTAATTGTTGTGAGAATAAAGGCGAACATGGGAGACCTTTGGAGGGAATCCGCATTATTTTCCCTGGACAGGTGAAAAAGGCGACATTTTGGCGCGTTTTCACCTTTATTTTCCAACGCATTTTACTCTTTATTTCCCTTTTGTTCATCTTTATTTCCCCTTTCACTGGTTGCTTGAGTTGTAAAAGCAAAAAACTGAAGGCGTTGAAATTTTGTAGTTTTAGATTTGTTGTACTTAGAAGCAGAAACAGGAGTTTAATATGTTTATTAATATTTTTATCGCAATTTTTACGCGATGGGACAAATAGTGTTGTTTTGGTTATTTTTTGGAGTTAATCATCCGAAGAACACAAATGCTTAGATGCTGATTCGTGCTGCCAAGGAGCTACGTAGACAATAGCCACATTTCAACCACATATGAATATTTTATGACTAGTTCTCTTTTTGTCAGATCGGTCGTCTGAAAGACTACACAACCAATACTGACAATACCCAGCATAAGTGATGAATCATTGTTATTGAGAACTGTCTTCTGAACTTTTTTATTCCAGTTTGTTCAAGCCATCATCGGACTATACACTGTATGAATGCTTGTTCATTATGTCTACATAATTCTTAAGAACTCCTGATACACTTTTGACTGGTCATATACGAAACAAGACCACTGTTGACCCAGCAAAACCGATGCAGACTGAGTACAAATTATTAAGGTTTCCATTGACAGAATCCGAAAATTATGTTTGAAAGAAAAATACAAGTCAAAGACAAACAGAGTGCATTATTAGGTGATATATTTCCAATCTCAAACTGTCATCATGGGATAAACATATAAATAAGTCTCATTTCCCGTTTTATTTATAATGAGTAACTTATGAAGATCAAATAACGAATATATAACTTGTTCTCTTCATAATTCGACTGTTTATTCTTTGCCTTTATAATTTATAGATATTTATTCTGTTGTTGTGCTTCATTAGAACTAAACTAAATGAGTCGATTATATGACAATTATGAACCAACAGTGATTGATAAACAGTTACTAAATGATGCTGTATTTTCATTATTGCAAAAAGGAACTGTGAGCGAACTTGCTAAACAAGATGGAATCCATTTTGAAAATGTTACACACCTGAGATTGGATTATAAAAGTAAACTAGTTTTCAATTTTACTTTTATGCAAACAATTTACTAGACATTTTAAAAATCGATAACTTGTGGGCATTTAAGTTACTTGTTAAGTTGCAGCTTGATAATAACATCATAGAACGAATTGAAGGTATCGGTCATTTAACTCACCTACGTTGGCTTGGTAAGAATGTAATTCGATGGTGAAATGTAAATACTACTTTTATAATCACTTAGATTTATCATTTAATAATATTGAAAAAATTGACGGCTTACAAAATCTGGTAAATTTAGAAGATTTAACATTGTACAATAACCGAATTACCACATTAGAAAATATGGAAAATTTGAAAAAGTTACAAGTGTTTTCAATTGGTAACAACTATATTACTGAATTGTCTAATGTAAGTAAAACTATTTATTAGTATGTGTTCAAGAGTTTAGATGGTAAAGACATGATTTCTGGATTTCAGCTTGGATTAAATTTTATAATGATGTTAAGAGTATCACTAAAATATAATCTACTGTAAGTTAAATATATGTTCCTCATTTATGTCAATTTCACCTTAGACATTCAAATTTTGACACTTCCTTCTTTCGCTGCGATGAATAGCTGATTATTTTCTCTTCATATCAGTGTTTTACTGTTCTACTCGTTTTTTGTAACTCATTTAATTGACAAGTTAACACAGTGAATTTGATGTAAAACATAAATATGCGTTAAGTAGATAACACTATCAACTGAACCCGAAGATCTAGTGGGTATTTACAGCTTTATTTGTTGTTTGTGAAGTTACCAGTAAGTGATTCAAAAAGCGGTTATTATAATTCAAATAAAGTGTTTGGAAACCAGTAGTTTGTAATTAGCAGATTTTAACATAATTACTTAATGAACATTGCAAAATATCCCGTTTTTTTATGAAATTAAAAAAAAGTCAATGATAGATTAAACGATATGTTTTTGTAATGTCTCAAGTAGTTAAAAATTATATTTTTGACGTTATTTGCTTTACTCCGAAGAAGTGGCTTACACTAAGTTGCTAAGCGTCAGAAATTTAATTTTATTCTCATTTGGATACTATAGATTTAATTTTAGTTTCATTGTTAGTATTCTAACTAATCCTCAATTTATTATAAATTGGCGAGTGAAACTTTAGTAATGATACATAATAACAAAAAGAAATCATATCCACTTTATGACTCTAGAATATATGCATGCATATATACTATGTGAGTTTATTTTTTAATAAAAGAAATAATTCAAATCACAACACACCAATTGGAGTTTGGACATTATTAAGTCTATTCATTAGGTGAACAAGTTTGATCGTTAGATATGAGTAGTGTTATCAATAATTATTACATTGAAGAGAATCCGCATTACGTGCTAATTGATCTTTATAATATCAGGGATATGGTTCAAGTGTTTAGTAGAAAGTGATGAGATATAGGCTACATTGTTTGACCTTCGACTACTGGACTACAATTTTAAAAATCGTTTCACTCATTTTTATCTGAACAATTTCGCAGTATCACTAGCTTTCAAATAATAAGTTTGATTCAAAACAGAGGTGTACTAACCTATTCTTAGTCGCTAAAGTACATTTAAAGCTATAACTAAGTAAGGATTTATTCACTCCTTAAAATCAAGAAATCACAGAAAGTGTCTTAAATTTTGTGTCAATAATTCAGCCGTAATCTATAGATGGGTTAGAAACATGATTTAAATGAAAGCTAGGTTATATGTGAGATACGTCTAAAGTATTACCTTTTCACCGATGTTATCACAAAAGGATCGCTAATCATCTCGTAACTAGACGTGATGTTACGGCCAGAAGCTAAACCTTAAAATCCGGTTCTAATTTATTGGAGAGTGAGTGACCTTCAAAACCTAGAAAATTCTAAGGACCCTTCGACAGTAAAGGAACTTAATGGTTTTCTTCATTATTCTGTCAAATTCGCGGAAGTGAATGCGAAGATTATCTTTCTTATGGATTGCGTTAACACGCACAAGTATCCTAAGTGCTACTGGAAAATTCTTTGAAGAAACAACATTTATCCAAACTCAAAATCTCTTAAACTTCATGCACAAAATGTTATCGATTCTATTCGTCCACGCATCCCGTTATTGAACTTTAACATTTTACAGAGATCTGTGTTATACGAGTTATCACTTAACGAACACGATCCTTTCGACGAATATGCTACCATAGTTAGTGACAAACGTACGAAAAAACTAATATCGGATCTCACTCAAGGCTTAGAAACCACAGAAACACAACATAAATTTCCTAGCAATCATACTTCAATATCCTTAACAAATGTACAATTAGAAGTCTTATCCTTGGGGATAAAATTTTTTGACATAAATGAAAAAATTATTAAAATCCATACACATGTTTAATTCGAAAATTTAATCAAACAAACAAATGGTCGTAGTCCAGTCTTTGACCAAGAATTCCAACGTTTCAAATCTACTCTTCTCGATTGCTGCTACCAGTATATTAGCACAAAAGTAACAGGTAAAAGTCTTCTAACTAAAAAAACATAGAAATCAACTAAAACTACTTAGAAACAATAAAAACTTGATAAAGACGTCCAGATAAAGGTGCGGGTTTAGTGCTGCTGAAATTATAGAAGAGCAACTGATTGAAGTTTTTAAGAGAATGAAAGGTGATCGGTCAATCGACGAACATGACTTTGAGCGCATAAAACCAATAGGACCAATAATACCGCGATTATATGCTCTGCCAAAAATACACAAATCTGGCCTACCTCTTAGACCAATGCACTGCCGAAGCAATAGCCATACATCTGGAAAAACCAGAATTGTGTGTACAAAGAAGATTGGTACAAAATCTTCTACCATGGTCTTAACGTTTTATATTTTTTTATTTCTTCATACTCTTCTTCCTTTACAGCCATCTGCTTCCACATAAGTCTTCTACCCCCAACTGGTTCATTTCTGTTTCCACGATCCTCCTGATTAATCTCGATTTCAACATTTTATCTTATCATGTTGAGTCATACTGTCCCAATGATAATTTCCCTATCTATCTTTTGATGAATACTTAAGCCATTAACAATCAAACGATTATTAAGATTTACTTGCTTAAAAAATTTTAAATGCCTTTATTTATCCTCAGTGTCACCATGTCTAAGAGAAGTTTATTACCAGCATTATTATAATTATTATCATCCGGTAAAAATAAGTATATATTAGCGATTGTACAGCTTTGAAAATGAAGTAACCGAAAAGAGAACTTTTCACTGAATTAATCTTTCTTATTAAATGTCTTGATGGATGTATTCCGTTCACTGAAACCGATTCCCTCTAGTTGGTTGTGTTGCTTAATAATATGTGTATAGGTAAGTTATTTTCAAATAAGATTTATTTCTTTGGCTATTGGTATTATCATTAATATTAGTATATTTGGTTTCAAGAGTATCCATCACTAAACCATATCGTTTTATCACATTTTATCTATCGATTAGCACTTTCATTTATTTTAGCAACTAAAATCTTCATTCTCAATTAGTCATTCGTCTTAACTTGCTGAAAAATCAGTGCAAACCAAATAGGTATTACATACTTATATCAACAAGTTGTGTAATTTCAAGATGATACACACTTACATGCCCATATGAGATTGAACTCAGAATATCCGGGTCTGGTATCAAAACAAGATACTTCTTGATTATCGATTTGCAATCGTTTATCCACTTTTATTAATCCATATTGAAAACTAACTAACTTAATCAAACTTACCTATCCACCTCTGTATTAATATATCACATTTTTTGATTTACAAATATTCCAGTATTAAGGTTTGTTCATTAGATGATTAAGAAAATGAATTAGATTAATTCTTTTTGAAATCAATATTTTCATTTAATACAGATAAAATATTTACGCCAGTTTCGCCATTTACAATCAGTATGTTTACATGGTAATCCAATTAGTAAAAACGATGACTACAAGTTGTATATTCATGCTATGCTACCCAATCTATTTTATTTAGATTATCAAAGAACCGACGATAAACTTGTAAGCTGCTTTCTGAAGTTCTTTTTTTATGTTCACCTATTTAATCTTTTTCAATTTCTGCTTAGAATTTCAGACAAAAGGATTGAGTTATGTTTAGAATTAAAAAATCGGTACAGTGGATTATTTCATAATACGGTACTATTATCAATAAAAACACAAGCTAAACATTTTACAAACTTCAATTAGTGAGGTTTTCAAGGTTTTTACATGCAAATATGTACGATCAACGAGGAACTATTGCGTGGAATAGTTATGTAAGGATAAATTATGAAAAAAAACATACGATAAACTAGGTAATAGCTTAGTTATCTGTGTCAAATTTAACAATGTCAGGTAACTATTCCATGCAAGCTATAAATAGAAAATGTTACAAACAAACAAATGTGGAACAAGCTCACAAGAAATAAAAATAAATTATTAAGTATGTCAGGAGTATAATAATAGATCGATTAAATGTCACGAGTTCATGTAAGCGCTTAAATATATTACACATGTAACTACGAAGAAGCACGATAAGTTAATTGTTCGAAAATGATTGACAATGATATAAGTTGCTCAATATTAAGCTAAATAATATCATTTCAGCGAGAAAAAACTTTTTTTCGACAAAGCCATACAGTTGTATTTATAGCTATTTTACACATAGAAGTCTATTATAATATCGAAGACTATTGAATCATTAGCAAAGTTACCAAAAGTTAATCAATTTAAGTGTCAAGTGAAGTTGCTTAATAGTTAATAGGTGATAAGAATGAAAATGGCATCAAAAGAAGAGGAGTGAATGGCTGTTCAATGGTCGAATATAAGGAAGAACATGTGTTAAAACCTCGGTTTGAGAAAGGAATGTTAGAACTATGATAAAATAAAGGATTAAACATATCTGTTCTGAACTCAAAGAATATGATTGGTCTGATAGGTTATCATAGCTTCCTTTATGCACCAGTTTTTTGTTCAACTTCCCTTAAAATCAGTTTATCTGAATGATTTTAAATGAAGATTCTGGTTGAGATAGATAGCAGTGATTGATCAAGTGGTCAATAATCTAACTATTAACTGGTTTGCATTCATCTTTAAATACCAATGCTGAGTAGTTTTCGAGTGTACTTTGGGAAAGAATACACTTTTTACGGCCAATAAAACATGATCTTCAGGGGACAGAAAACTGGTAGATACATAACGGCTTTCCCCCCAATTAAATAACTTATTCAATGACATCTCTGAGACAAATTCCCGCTCCTAATTTCTTTTTAGCTTATTATTTGTTTTCTGTCCCATTTTATTTTTTGTTATGTTTCGTCATTTTCATCTCTCTATCAAATCAAAATTTCAGATTTTCTTTTATTACAGAAATCTACAGGTTATGAAAAATATCAACTAGAAATTGATGAGATTATAAGTGAAGAAGAGACTCAATTGAAATTGAATAAAGAACTTGCTGAAAATCAAGCTAAAATAGAACTATATAAACAAGCATTTATTGATGGCATAGTTGATGAAAATATTTTTCAAAAATTATTCACTGATGATCCTGATGGCAGAGAATTATTGGTAGTTCCTGAATTGTACAACAGTATTGAATTATATCCTTTTTCTGGTTGGCTTATTGAATGGTCGACAATTATGTATTACTTTTAGATGTGATAGACTGAGCAAGTCTATTAGTATCACGTGTTTGTGCTTGCACCCCATCCAAAGGCCAAGCACTCAGATATGATAAATAAGGCACGCTACTGGATGAAGCCAGTTATTCACATTGCGAAAGTCTTAGTCTTTATGTCTTATATACACTTCATTCAGCTTTCCACCAACAGTTATTCAGTCATTCTTAGTCGTCTCACAAGAGTAGCAGGTTGCACAGGTGTACAGGAAGTGTGTTTGTCCGTACCTGAATCGGGCGACAATGGCATGTTATGTTAAAACTAAAAATATTAAAAAGAACTGATGGCATCCTTTAAAGTAATAGCCCTAGTTATCTCGACTGAGCCAAAGATCAAACAAGACTATATTCCTACTATAAGACAATGATCAAGGGAATCTTTACAAGCATTTCACCAATTAATCATTCGATGTTGTAAAATAGACCCAATCTATCAGTCAATAAGAAGAATGATACAAAATTGCAAGGTCAGAGAACTCAATCAAATAATGTTAACTATTGTGAACGAATAATCGAAGTTGATGTCAACAGAACATGTTGTTACACAAATGTGCAAAAATCCCTAAGCTTAATTCTTCTCAAAGCATTTTCTGACAGTGTCTTCTGGAAAGATAATTAGAGCTGCAAGATTAGACAATCCAGCCGGAAAAACACATTTCCAGAATCTTCCCCCCTGATCTACGATATGTCATTTGATCATTATCTGGAGACCAGCTGCTAACCCGGGAGCAATGGACAGTTGTTTCCACCTATTCAGGAACTGCATAGTACTGTGTTCCCACTACTCCATACGAAATTGTACTCAAAAACTTTAGACCTCTCAGTGATCACCATGCCTTTAAATCACTAGACATTTCAGGTAACATCAATTTGTTATGTTAGCCATATTCAAGCTATCAAAACTTTCACAAAAAGGCATCAACTATATTAATAATGTATGTAGCTTGTGTTTAATATTTGTCATAATTTAGAGATTATCTCCTCAAAATGATGAAGTTAAGGGGTAAACAATATTACAAGAAAAGGTGAGTGGTGGCTGACAGTGAAATCCAGAACGCGTGTTTCGTCCCATTTAGGACTCGTCATCCGGATGTTCCTGTTTCCCAGAGTTGATGTTGACTCCGGGACTCGAACCTAGTAGTGGACGCTCAAAACGCCATCCTGGTAGCCACTAGCTAGCCACCATCCATCTTTGCATATAATAGTTGTAACTTACGGCAATATCGGGGCAATCCGCACAGGATGTACATATACCGATAAAAGACTGATCAATTTCAGTCCTAAACATCAATGAGATTCAAACAAACAATAAAAAAATGAGGTATACAGTATTTCTTAAAATCGTTCCCTTGGCATATTTAAACGAACTAAGAGTTCTATTAATTGTATAATACAATGGATTGAATGTTTTTCGTTACTTTCTCTTCAGCTACATACAAGTTAATAAGTTTGATTATTTTAAAATGAGAAAACATGAATTGTCTATTAACAAGAAATAAGGCGTATAGGATGTGAATTAAGTTAAGAATTAAGGTTTTAACAAGATTTTACAGATTCTTGGAATTAAAGATTCTAGTACATTCCATTTTTATTACTCAATTTGACAAAGATCTAAGAGGTTCAGAAATAAAAATGTATATGAATTGAACTTAAAAGACTGTGATCAAAATAATTAAAGAACGGAACTGAAAAAAGAACTGAGAATGTTTAGTTCTCATCGGTTATGAAGGCAGATAAAGGTTTAACCATTGACTCTTTTTTGAATACAAAGGCCAGATTTAAGTCTCTGTGAATTTCATTAAGACAAAGTTAGGTTGTTCGCCGATTATTTTGAATGCAATAGCTTTATGTCCCATATTTAGCAGGTGAACATGTCATGTAAAATGTAGTACAGTATTGATATTGTCAATTCAAACACTGAACATTTTAAGAGGATCAATATAATGCTTGACAGTAACTGAAGAATCGATTACGCAAAGATATCTGCTCGTGTTTGAAACTTTTCATCTCAAATTACATACGTCTCAATGATTGGTATTATCATCTAAAATTATTATTTTAAATAACTTACAGGCTGTTTGTGTATTACCCGTTCACAGACAATTATGATCAACACTTATTATTCATTGTGTTTGGTTGAAATAGACCTCATAGTGATTTTCTTTTCTTTAATAATCAGTAACTGAGTAGTTTTTTTCACATGTAATAAAGTCAACTACATGTCAATTTCAGTTAGATATCAACAAAAAGAACCTGAAATAGTTCATCAATGAAATGAACGAATAAACATGTTTAAGAATAAAGATTAAAAAGTTATCAAAATCCATCATGATAAAAGGTCATTAATTAGAAATAAAGGTTTTATCCCAAATGAAATAATTTTGTTCTAATAAGTTAATGGTATTAAAATCTGTAAAAAAATAAGGCGAAAAATATGTGCATTCTTCATTCTAACAAGACAACAGTTTCAACTCCATTACACTCATTACAAATTGACAACTAGTATTTATGTCAATGAATAAAATATCATTCGTTATAGGGATTTAAAAGAATTAATAAAATATGTAAATTACTGATTGCTAATTTTCTTGTGTATGAAAAATGTACATATGAAATAATCTCACCGATTTGGAAGTTAAATATCTCCAATATTTTGATAATTCATCTGAAGTTCTTCAGAGTAATTCTCCAAAGAAGATCGATCTACACTGAAATCTTATCCAGTTATATTCAGATATTGATTTTTGAGTAGTAAGAAAACTTGAATGAATCAGTAATATGCAAAAAAAGTATCCAAAATTTAAAGAACAATCAGCATATATATATATATATATATATATATATATATATATATATATATATATATATATATATATAAACCTTAATGTTATCAATAATTAATCAAAATTCCAGTGAATAAATGAATTCTCTGTCTACTAACAAGGATGTATTCAATTAAATCTAAAAAATCATAGAATAAATGGAAAGAATTTTTCGACTATTGAATTGTATGAAAAATAAGAAATGTCAAAGAAATGATTGTTATGTTAAACATGAAAATAAACTTTCTTTATCATTAGATATGACTCGATCATAACCTATTTATAGTTTAAATTTCCTAATGATATCTAAATCTTGATTGTGCAATCAAACCTAGTTGAAAGTGAATATATTATATTCATATAATTTATTGTTCAAGTGTATGTTAATGTACTAAACTTTGAGCTATACATTTAAGCTATGTGACGGTTGATAATATGACTCAGGTATGTAAACTAAAGTAAACGAAGAGGAATTCAAATCTGTGATTGACCAGTTGGAAACTGAGTGGTTGGCTCTAATAACTTAAATTATCCATTTATATGCATCATATCTGATTGTTTGATAGTAAAATAAATTTTCGGCATGTAAACTAACAGTATATCTGAGAGTCGTTAGTCAATATGTGGTGTGTGCTACTTATATTGACATAAGTAGTATATAATGTTAGTCGTGAACAGAAGGTCTGGCAGCAGGGAGACAAGAGGATCGAACAGTAAAGAATGGAAATAGGATGCAATTTGTATGAAAATGCAAGAACAATGAAGTCTGAGTCATTTTGAGACAATTGATGAACATTTTGCAAATTAAGCATTTACTTTTTGATTGTTAGATTTTATTAACAGGTCCTGTAATTTTGTGTTAAATACATTCGATTGTTCTTACTGGTGTTCTTATTCACTACATATATACACTATTATGAATATCTGTGGAGAAAGCTGTTGAACAACACTTAATAGCTGTAAGTTATTAGATTTAAACGGAACAAATTTGAATAATTTGACAATATCATGAACCATTGACAGTTGAACTGGGTTGGTCATACTGAGTTAATGTTCACCCAACATGTTATACTTGAACTAGTACTGAGAGGTATAAAACGGAACCTCTTACATTTTTGCACACAAAAAAAACACATGTACACTATTGTATTTATTTGTTGTGAATGTTTCAATATTCATTTCATTTAATCCAGTATCACTATTCACCTTAACTTGTATAATTTATATGAACATTATCAATAATAATGGTGATGATCATAATAATAATAATCTACCTTTTCAGAAAAATTTACACATCAATGTAAATTAGTATTTGAACTTGGTATAAAAGAACATGATAAACGTAATAAAGAAATAGAATCATTTCGAAATTGTATTGAACAAGCGAAAATGGCAAATGCTGAATTAAGTAAAAAAAAAATAAATGAATTTAAATTATATCAGGATAAAGTAAACAAATTTTTAAATATTATTTTTATACTCCTCTTAAAATTTAAACAATTTTATTTCATTATTACAATAATTGAGATCATGAGTCAACTGAAGCTAAACCACTATAGAAAACCTGGGAGCACGAGACCAGTAGATCCTGGGTTCGAATCCCACGGAGCGGGATCGTGGTTGCGTACTGCCCAGGAGTCCCACAATAGGACGAAATGGCCGTCCAGTGCTCCCAGGTTTTCCATGGTGGTCTAGCTTCAATTGACTCATGATCTCAACTATTGAAATTATTAAAATATCCACAAAACCCCTTATTTCATCATGTTGAATTATATGTTTATCTGCTTTTTTATCTATAAGAATTAATGTCAAGAATAATTGTTAAGTGTTTTCTGTCGTTTCATCTGCTTAATCAATGTTCATGACTGATGTTTACAGTGAAACTCGAAACTAGAGATTGTTATTTCAAATGCTAGTATGCTATAAATTAAATTAGCGAGTCATAATAACCATCAACTTGGTCATTTATTTATTTAATCGATACATAGCACCAAAAAAATCACCATACAAATGAAACAATAATAATATGAATAAATAAAGTGAATTGCAGTACAGTCACTGAATAAATGGACAAAGTTGGTCTTTAATAAGGGATGTAGTCAGTTGGAAATACAGTCAAGAAAGAGTTTAATCAGTTGAGAGTTTCATCACATTTTATAAAGATTATAGTCAAACACTATATTCCGCTCCATATCTTCTAATATTTAAGGCCACTGACTTGTACCATCTTCAGGACTCAAATAACATGGAGTGACATAAGCCAATTTTCTACAACTATCTTTCATACAACAGCGTTCCTATGTACCTGCTCTCCAATTTTTTATATTCAGCCCGTGTCAGTAAATAATGCGAGATGCGGAAATTGCTTAGATAACGATCATAAAATATGACTCAGTCATCAATATCGGTGGTTCAAGATGGTGACACTAATCAAATTATTGTCAATACACCTAAACACGTATCAGCATTACAAATAAGTGTTGCCACCAGATATTAATAATCCTTTGAAAACAACGATATTCGGACACAAACCTTAGACAAATGTCCCTTGCTCGGAAAGGCCAGGTTTGTTTGAAGTCATAACGATAAAATTTTATAATAAATCTCTGCACCTGAACTACAAATATTTTTTCGTTTCAAAATAATTATGTCTCAGCAAAATTATTACCCAGTAATATTTTGTTAAACACAAAAACTATAACTCAGAATTTCACAATCAGATGTGTCTACTCTGATGAATTTTTAGGGATAAGGTTCTCAATGTCCGTTAAAAATTACTTTTCTAAATTAAAACGTGATAATCTTGATAATTGTTCTGAATAGACAACAGTTTGTTTATTCTCTAGAATTATTTTCAAGTATAAGGCTAATTAATCCATATGCGAATTAAATCAAGTTATCAGTTTACATAACCAACTGACTATTCATAAACTTTTGCATAGTACATCAATTTCCAAAATACCTAAATTTTGTAGGCTTAGATATCAGAGGTTAATGATTTTATACACCATAAAAAAAGCTTAATATTGAAGTTTACAAAAACTGCTACCACCAGTTGTTGTTACTGAATGGATTTCATTACAACTGACAGGAAATTAAAATAAATGTTATCCAGTGTTATGCACCCACCAATGATAGCAATGAAGACGATAAAAATCAGTTCTAGGGTAGGCTGCAATCAATCATAGCGAAGTATCCAAGAAAGGACCTCATCATTCTGATGTGAGATCTAAACGACCAAGTCAGAATAGACAACACCGGATATGAAGATAACATAGGACGACATAGGCTGGGAGAGATGGTGGATTGTTTATTACTTGAAATAGTCTATGTGAAAGTCATTCTCAATGTGCTTAACTTCTGTATAATTATAGAATATATCTGATGAGATGATATACATATACAATAATGTAAACATCAGTAAATAATATAAATTTGAATTACGATTGAAATTTTTTTATGCAACGATGAAACTATCAATTAATTTCAACCTAAATAGATAGGAAGATTTCAGCATATGAATGCATAACAAGGTATAAATCACTACACTACAAAGATTTCTTCTAATAAACAACAATTTTCATCTCGTATTGAAATCATTTGGATAATTATTCAAAACTATTTGTAAAGGATAACTGTTTTGTTCAAACTCCATTATTCATTGAATCAACTTAAAACTTCGAAATCTCCTTGATTACATGGTGTGATTCACCTAGTATGTTAGAATATAATAAACATTTAGTAAACTTCAGCTAACTTATAGTAGAGCATAATAAACATTTGATTTATTCAGTGGTCATCAGTATAAATCCCAAATTGATTAAATAGCTTCAACTGACTCATGATCTTAACTGTTGAAATTACTACAAACTCCACAAAACCCCTTCTGATATTAATCAACATATGCTCACTAGTGACTGGTTTCAAGATGTATATCCTAGAGTTCTAGTGAGAAGCAGTGACCAGTGGCGTTCAACCGGGTCAGTTGTGAGGTAGTACCTCACTGATGACAATGGTGGATGTGTCGCTGAATTTCGTGGATTAGTTGTAGTTAGACATTAACACCGTTGGATGCCGGATCAGTGGTCTAGTTGGTTAAGCGCCTGGCGCGAGACTGGTAGGTCCTGGCTCCGAATCCCACGGGGCGGGGTCATGGACGCGCACTGCTGAGGAGTCTTACAATAGGACGGGACGGCCGTCCAGTGCTTCCAGGTTTTTCATGGTGGTCTAGCTTCAATTGACTCATGATCTCAACTGTTGAAATATAAATGATGTCTACTAACTCAAGCTTCGTGGTTTCTGTGAATAAAAAAGTTATGTTAATTTCTAATTCATAAAAAAACACATTTTAACAAACAATACACATATACAATTAATTTCCTTGTAATTATTAATTTAAGGATGTATTTTCTGATGTAATAAAATTAAAGGAGTGTTGTGGTGTATGCTACTTATGTTTGTCGACATAAGTAGTATGTGACACCAATAGGAAGTGGGAACCTTAGTAGCAGAAGGCTAAGAAGATTAACTTGAAGAGAACAGAAACAAAAATAGAAATGAATTGTGAACTGAAAGAATCATACAGAATATGAAGGACAAGTGATGGAAATTCGCAGATGAAGTATTCAGTGTATGGTTCTTATGTCTTACGAAGAGATTTCGTAATTTTATACTTAAATATATCTGGTTATCCCCATTTGCGTTCTTGTCCATTACAGTGTTAGTAAAATAATACAACAATGAAAAAGCATCTTTATTCAAAAGACAAAGTTCGTAGTACATTATTTTTTTCTTTCATTTTAATTTTCTTTTAAATAGATATTTAGAGAACTTTTAGAGAATACTGATTTGATTAAAGTCGAAGATGATATTTTAGATTATAATGAGAAGGTGCAACAATTATGGAATGAATTAATGAGAAATGAATCAATTTTAGTTGAACAAATTGATGAATTAATTAATGAATTTGAATTAAACTTAAATGATATGATTAGTACATTTCTTGAAAATGTTGAAGTAAGTACTTAATATCAACGTACATGAAGTCAATTCTTAATGACATCTTTAAAAGTATAGTGATAGTGTCTTTTAATTATGGCAATGAATCATCTAGGTTCAAATCTCTAGGATAATAACAATTCCCATAATTTCAGATAAATAGTGTGATGAGGAATGAAAACTTAGACTTCTTTCTGTGTGTGTGTCGAACTCTCAAAGATCAAATTATACATAAACTCATTAAGATGTTTCCTGAAGATAAAACAAAATAAAAATTATTGCAAAATCGAACAAATTATACCTACCAAAAATACTTTGATGGAACTTTTTCTTACTTATATGTTTAGCTACTCGTCTACGCTTTACTGATATCCAAAAGGGTGTAATAATTATGCGGCAAAATTGCTGAATATTAAACGTGTATATACCAATTCAAACTATCACAGAATATTATCAAATTAAGCAAAAAGGGATGGTGGCTAGCATTGGAAAAGAAATAGTAGCCTTAGATAGAGTGGTTTAAATACTGGAGCAACCTGGGATTTCTTTTACATTCGTTGATCATCACTGTGTGCAGATCAATGTTTGTTGACAGGTAAAATTTATCATCTACTAGATTTATCGACTACAGTTTTCCAATATCCCTCTGAAGAGTATTCATTTCCATAAAAGCGTGAATTTACTAAGGGCTAAATATAAAACCTTTCCAAAAACACTGGTCACAATTTATGAGCAGAGATGGATGATGGCTAGCAGTGGAATCCATCGTGCATGTTTCGTCCCATTAAGGACTCGTCAGCTAGATGTACGTGAATCCATTTCTGCTTAAAATGCCTGTAACCTACTGGTAGTATCAAGGAAATCCGCACAGGATGCACAAATGCCAAAAGAAACCGATCAACTGAAATCCTAAATATCATCGGTACGTTCCAAAAAACCAATATATATAAGACAAAATATTACAAATTAGTATGGAGAAATTAAAGATGCAAATAATGGAATACATGAAAATGTTAATACTGATAGTGATAAAAATGTTAAAAATGCAAGTAATTGAAGAAATAAAACGAAGAATTATTAAGAATTAATACGTTCATCATCACCAAAAGGATTTTCATTTGCATCGTCAACCAATCCCAGCTTTTAATAAAATAGGTTTTTAAAAATTCATTATGATCGATTATCGGACTCAATTCAAGAAAATTATTATTATTTACTTGTTTTACACCAACACCCAGTTGTTTCACAGATTAATAACGACTGTTGATCTGGTCAGAGCATTCTGGTCTTATGAGTGAGGGATTTATCCACCAATAGCACTGGATCAAATTTTGGATATCGCGCATTTGTTGTAAACTACTTGACCCTTACGTAGTCGTCTGAAGGCAATGCACTCAGTGTCAACGTAATGAGATCAAAACTAGAAGAGGCTATGGATGCGCACTGTCTGGAGTCCTAAACTAGGATTGTTATCCAGTCCTTTATGGTTCACCAGTTGATATTCTTCTGTGACAAAAACCAACTTCAAATGACGATTTTATTGTTTTACTTCAATAACTGACTAATGACTTTTTTCTCTTCATAGAAGGATTTTATTTCAGATCAATTATTTTTCAGGAACATTTCACGGAATGTCGCGAACTACAAACTCAGTATCATGAAAGGTTGACAGATCTATGCCCAGGTATTTTAGAACGATTTATGCGTAGTGACTTCCAAAGCGAACCATCAGATGCTCTTTTAGCCGTAAGTTATAAGTTTATAAACATGAGAATGGTTATTTATACTGAACAGTTATTTTTGCTTTAATTTTCTTCTGGTTTGTTGTGACGGGAAACAAACTACTGATATTTTTAGAAGTGGATGTGAAATTTACTGGTCATTATCTCAAGCCTGTTTATATTTTGACGACAAATCGATTAAATTTGGAGACTAAACAGAATGTTAATTAGTACTATTCGATAACTTATGCACAACTTTTGAATACTTAAGTGCAAAATCTTATTGATTGCCCACTTTGTCATGCGGGTTGGAGTATCTAAAGTACGAAAAGTTTCCTGGAGGTTTCATTGGCGCCATCGTAATGAATGTTATTGACCGAAATAAATATACGAATGAAATTAGTTCCAGTTGTTAATAGATGAGCACTTGATAACGTAACTTGAAATATTGATAACTAAAGTGAATGGGTAGTTTCGTTAAGGTCACATCAGATTCAGCATTTAAATATGATCATTTCCCACTTAGAAGCAGGCATATGTCAAGAGATAATACATATATAAAGGCACCAATTATATGGAGAATTAACTAATTCGGAAATTCGAGAACTATATAACGATTCATTTGAAAATCATTTGTCAAAACTACACAGTAGATTAACAAGTTTCACTGGTTGACTAAGCGTTAAACACAGGGTGGAAATACAAGAAAAGTTTTAGAAAATACATGGGGTACAAATATCTTTTAAAAACGATTCTTAAGTTCATTAGCCTTAAATTATCGTATTCAAAGTAATCAAATAAAAGTTTTATGAAGCAATGTAGGACTAAATTTTTTAGCTTTCAAGTTCATAGGTACCCAAAAACGATATGAACATGTTACCGTTTATTCGGTACATAAAATTCCGGAATTATTTTAACAAAAGACGAATCAATAATGATGATAAGAAGTGTACTTGTCTGAAAAAATCATCCAAGTGTAGTTGTTAAATAGGACTTATCAAAATTCATAAAAATTTTAATTTATTTAACAACATAAATTGAGAAATGTTTATCTTAAGTTGCGAAAGTGTCTGTGGATTCGAAAGTAAGATCTAGTTGTTTTTATATAATAAGCCAAAAGTTGTGTGATGTTACTTTTTAAACAACTAATTTACTTAATTTTAAATAGATTATTGCTCTTAAACTAAAGCTTCAGGGAAGTCTATTTTATGTCATCGCTAAGTAATCGATCTACACTTGTGTATATTTCTTGTCATATCCCCATATATCTACAAAAAAATTAGAATATTTTATCTCCAATTATTACAAATTCATTGAAACAAAAGTTTCATTGCATTTTATTTTTTGGTAAATTACAGATTTTTATTGATAAAGAAAGTGTAACGAATGCATTAACAGCCAGTAACGATGCTCATTTACTTAAAATTGATGAATTCGCGGATGAAATTAATGAAAAAGCGAAAAAATGGATTAAGGAAACAATTACTTCCATATATTCCGGTGAAAAATATGATCGAAACAGAGCAAGAGTAATGGAAATAAATCATTTTATAGATGCATTAAGAAATGACGTTGAAAATTTAGATATACCTGCATTAGGTGAATCTTGAATATGCATATGATATTCTTTGGGTAACTATCTGGTAGTTTTGTCATAATATATAAATTTAACTGTACTTATTTAAAATTAATCTTGTTTTGATTGGACAGACTGAATAATCAATTCACTATTCATTGAATGATAAGTATTTAAACTATTTATAAATAAATACAGGCTGCTTCATTTGTCATTTACTAATTACTTATTGTTCTCAGTTGCTGCGAAACTGTATAGTCCTCTGACCGCCTTAAGCAGAAATGCAATGTTTTGAAGAAGATTCTTTGCCTCGAAGCCCAAAATATTGCTTCAAAACTGATTTTACTTCAACACTTATCGACCACCTAACGTTTCTTGCAATTCTCAACTTTGGTAGGTTGGTGTCTGATGAAATATTCGGTAGAATTCATGAAGCTCAGTTAACCTTTGCCAACTTGTATTGTAGTGAACAGGAAACGGGTGCGGACAGAGCATCTCAATAAAATCTGAGAACCATATATCAAATCATTAATTTGCAAAATGTCCTCCAATTTTTTTCAAGGTGCCTCAGAATCCATTGTTCTTGCATTTTCATACAAATTACATTCTATTCCCGCTCTTGTTTTCTTGATCTTCGGCTGCCAGACATTGCATTCCTGACTCGCGCCATATACTACTTATATCAATATAAGTAGCACGCACCACAGCGTCACCTGTAGGGTAGGGACGGTGTCCGTCTGCCAACTAAGGGATAAGTTTACTGCTCATCAGTTCGACCTTATGGATGTGAAACATGCCAACTAAGAATCGAGAATATTCGTTACTTACTAGGTGTGTCCGAAGCATCGCTTGTGCATCACCATGTGTGAGATTTCGGAGTTATAAGCAAGGTACTAAATAGAGATGGTAAATCAGTTGTCTTCATCAACTGGAACAGGTATTACGTATTTCACACTACCGTCAACCTCGACAGGTGCTGTCTAGCATACGATTAGGTTTAAATAAAGCTAGGGACCACCACGCCAAGACATAGCATTGGTCCATAGTGACTGGCACCTGGACTGAGACATGTAAATAGGTAAACGCTACATGATTAGCATGCGCGTGTTTATCATAACCTGTGGTTAGAAATTTAGTGACATGGCTCAGTATTCGTCTTAATGGCGTAAGTGCTTCAATCTTTGTTTCCCTTAAACCCTCAGTCACGAAATCGCCCTATAGCTTTTTCTTTTTATGGCCAATCTTTTCCACTACTACTGATACTGTCATCACTTTATAATTTTCTTTAGTAATTTTACCTCGCTGCGCTAATATAATATGGCCACGTGGACCGATACACATTACTAACTGACTTTTCCCATCAAATAAGATGTCGAAAACGCCCAAACCTACTTAAGAATGTCATTAGGTCCGTTGTTGCTGTTAGTGTCTAACATCGACGTCATAAGGATTATGTTTGGGCCAATAATTTGTCAGTTTAAGCTGCGATATTGCACTTAAAATACACTAACATTTACGTGACACGTATTCTCAGCAAATTTTAACCGTTCATCAACAAACTAGATGATCCGTCGAAATGAGGTATGATATCTCAGTGAAATTCTCTATATAATTCGCACTTGATTTAAATTCAAAAAACACTCGCTATTTAGCTTTGTTGCCAAAACTATCTAGTATCATTATTGCACATTCAACTAATATTCAACCATGCTAGCACAAAGTGAAGAAATTACTCGTATTGGATATTATGACCACAATTATATTTCATTTTATGAGACCTACAGGTGAACTGATTAGTTTGTTTCAGATACTCACTAATATAGCTATGTTTGTGCATGAGTTCATTCTTTTGTCCGTCAGTTTTCTTCCATGGATGGAGTAGATAAACTGAATGCACTGGAACAGGTTACAATACAGAAGAAAGCAGTATTAACCACACAACCAGTAACCAATATGTAATAGTCTAATTAACAAGAGCAAAAGGCAGTAACGGGATTCCCATCGGTGTTATTAGGACATATACAGTTTCTTTATCTGATAGTAAGATAATTCTCTCTAGTAACAACGGTCGATTTTAATTCGATAGGTGCACTGGAAAAGGTTGTGTACGTTTGAAACACAAAAATACTGATTGTAAAGGATTCATTAGGACAAGAGAAAATTGAGATGACTCTGTAATGGTACCCGTACTACAAAATAGAGATGTTGGTCTTAGTGATCTAGTTCAAGACAATTAATGAAACTAAAAATTCTAGCTTAAAATCATAATGGTTGTAGAACCGAGAATTTCGTTTGATCTAAAAAATCCTACGCGCCGAAATCTGTGAATGCATGAAACCTGTATTATCCCCTATAATTATCCAAACTAACTAAAACTATTTCCATTTGGTTGAACGGTGAGATATAAGATTTTAGAAGTAGTAGTATTCACTACCGCAGAAAAATCAACATACGATAGAAAAATAGAATGTATACAGTTGGAGAAATGACAAAAGATGGGTGCTCCGTCAGAGAAATACAGATAACTTCGTTATGATTTCAAGGTATGAACACCACTTCATTAACAAACACAACTTACTTTATGTAAGTAACCTTCCATAAGAAACCCATTCAAAATATTTATATTCAACTTACAAAACTGTAATGTTAACGTTGAAATGAATATGGATTATTATTATAATATAATTACATAAGCATACATACAAGCAATCACAAAAACAAACTTTAGGTTAACATTTAAAGTATACATTAGGATATTTAAAGTTTTTCTTATTTCCCAAATGTTTAACAAAGATTAAATTATACAAATAGATGTAGTGTACAAAATAAACACTATACATATAAAACGAATAGGTGAGTTAATCAGTTAGTTGCCTGAAATAGTTTGAGTGAAAGTTGTCTGGAAACAATGGATTACATAAAGAGTAAGTTCATCTTTAATTTCTTACAAATTGTGACCATTATTAGAAACAAAACCAAGACAAAACATCACATGGGATAAATTTAGTATGGAAATTCTCCACAGAAACAGTAAACTAAAAGACGATGAATATGTATAACCACAAGGTTAGAGATGAAATAAATTTGAGCAGTTTGAAAAATGACTATAATTGATACTACGTATCATAAATAACCTTAAGGATTAATGAAAATAATAATACCAAGTAGATTTTTTAAAATACTGAAAATAAGGACAGGGTATCATGTGCCTTTACGGGATTTATCTTCTGTGGATGGTACTAACAATAAACTACTCTGTACACTGTAATTGTCAAAAGAACTACATCGGCTACTTCCACCACCATCGGTACTTTTAGCACTATTCAACTGACTACTTGTACTACTTGTCGATGCACATGATCCAACGGAGCAAGTATCAGAAACAGCAGAACTATGAACGCTGCTATTGATTGTGGCCCCTGCTGTACTTCCTGTTGTACTTTCACAACTAAACCCAACAGGAGTTAACAACGTCGTCCCGGTACTTCCAGTTACAGACGAAGGACTTGCACGTCGGTTTCGCTTGCTTTGTGGGGCACCAGGTCCAATAGGTGGAATCAAAATACGCTCTACTGATGTATCAGCGGAAGAATCACACATCTTAAGATCTTTGGATAATTCTACACTTTGCTGATGTGGCTCTACATTATTATTAGAAAGTGGACCACACATCACTTCTGACATTTCCTCATCATGTTTTTCGGCTTCAGGAGATTTGTTCGTCCCATTTGGAAGCTGATTAGAATCACCCATCACAATATCTGCCTCAGTATCAATCACTTTTGGCTGAGTAGCAGAGCAAGCTAGCATAACAGTATGTTGACCACCAGCGTCAACCATTAAAACTCGACTGCAAGAAATATAAGAAGATAACCCATTTTCAATAAGTGCTTAGTTGAGTGAATTCATTGCAAATACAGCTTACATGAAAATGATAAGGTATTACAAAAAAGACAGCTAGTAATTTTTTAAAATCCTAATTCGCTACCTTAAGTCTGTAAGTCTTAAATATAGGAGAGATATTTGGTCATAGATGCCTTCAAAGAATTGTTTGTATGTCATGAAATAACTTGTTAGGTGATAGTGAGGGTAACCGCGAGTGATAGGTAATGGAGAAGCTATTCAGATAATGACATAAAGCTTTGTTGCCGAAAGTGAATGAACAATGTTTTACACACGCTAGATAGAGCGTTCTATTGAGAACTGCTTGCCAGAACTAAGTATTAAATGGACATTTACTAAACACTCTTCATTAAATACATTATACCACTTTGAAAGTACTATAATTTACATTCACTTTCTCTTACATTGATTTTACACTTGAAGATGGATAAACTTAATTCTAAAAACTTTAACGCAGAAATATACTATTATTTATTTTAAAATTTGAATAGGAGAGTCCAACATGATAGCTTAAAACTAATCTTCAACCAAACTTATTCTAGCTGAAGCGATGAGCCACGCTTTATCGAATGAACATCAAAACATGATAAAAGCGGAAATCTAAGCCACCATTTTTTTGAAAAAAACTTCATCACTACAAATAAATTTAATCATAAATATCCATTTTTATGAGAAACGAAAGAATCCACTTTATTATTTATTTATTTATTTGAACACATAAATATTGGTTCAAAGAAGCACCGAATACATATGCGTTATACAAGTCACTTCACTTGATATGGGCTGTGATATTGACCGTGTGCCCAGACCGAAGCAGATGTTTTTCTTAGGGAGCCACACCCGGAGCCTTCGACCTTAAGGTCTGATCCACAAGGCAGTGGAGCAACGTAAAGAGATGCAGTGCCATGGTAGCCGGTCACTAACGATTGGTTCATACACCATGTGTTCCTTCAGAATCCTGGAGCCCATGTGCACCATTGGTTTGAAATTAGGGTGAATCAGATCTTAATTGAAGTGTTTAAATGTAACTGGAAAGTTTGAGGGTGATCGAACTAGCTAATATTGTTTAGAATTCATGCTGGATACGTGAAATTGAAAATCAAACTAAATCCATTAGAAATCATAATGATTGTGATTATTTCCAATCGAAAGAAACATTAGAACTACAAAGTACACCTTATAAAAACGTTTTCATATGGACAACAAGCATATTCAACCAATCTATGAGCAAAAGATAAGTTTTATATTTAAAAATGTAAACACTCAAATATCTTACCGATCTTCTAGTTGTTTCCCCACCATCAACTCTGGTTCCCAACAGTCATCTTCACTGTCTCCATGTCCAAGTTGATGATTGCTACCCATACCCCAAGAGTAAGCAAGACCTATAAATAAATAAATATATTAAAATACATCCAACTTGATAACATTATGTACAAAAGATTTTTATTATAGAATTCCAGTTAACTTTCTACAGTGCTTAAATTGGTTTAAACTACAAATTTAAACCTGGTAACAGCAGTGGGATAGATAAAATTCTGAATAACAAGTACATTTGAATACCATCTCTATAATCAACTAACACAAAAGAATTTTTCATACAATACCTAGATGAACCCCATTTATATAAAACTCAGCTATTTCGTTAGTCGTCTGGCAAAATTATGAGTAAGTGATCGACACATTGATAAAATCTGACGTGAAAGATAGTTTAATTTATGAATTTTAGGTGATCCATATAAATGAGAATATTCGGAAAGCAAAAGCTTTAAGAAAATAGATTCTCCATCTATAATGTTCATGTATAGTAATATACCTTGACTTTAATTTATTTTCCTCTCTAGTTTTTTTTTCTAATTTCTTCAAAGGCATAAATTTATCACTAAATAAATAACATTTTAATTTTGTACGCATATCTATTCATAATGGCCACTCCTAATCTTTCATCGCCTTTCAGCAAGATAATATCTGCTTTTAAACACACAAGGGGTAGTTGAACTTCCGTATACCTAAGGTTTCAACAAACCCATTCTCCACCATCATCAAACATATAGCCCATACAGGTTAAAAAAATTATCTTAACTCAACCTGTGTAATTGCACATGAAGTTATCTAAGACCAATACTTGCGTTTTTTGAAGCCTTAGGTAAACGAACTTTCAACTCTCCTTTATACTTACACTAAACCTACCCTGATAATATTCGTTTCCTATCTAGTAGCGCGGTTCACATTGTTTCCTTCATTATCTTATTTTTTTTCATCTTTCAATTTGTCTAGTTTACTTACCAGATAAAAATGCCTTAACAAGTAAATGTGTGGTCATACTGTTTAAAATATATTTCACAATCAATGCTCAATTTGAGAACCCATATGACTAATTAAATACTCTTGTTCCTACAACTTTAGACAATAGAATATGGTGCAAAACTGAATTATTGGGCATAACTCCTTGATTCTATAAGTCTGGAAAGAGGCATAGAAGTATACTAACTTATGAGGATTTTGAAAGCACTAAAGGAAACACAGACCAACCCTGATATTGCTCTGCCCAACCAAAATGAATACTTATAACTTCTAAGACAGACGGAAAGATCATCATATACACGACACGGTGAAATATACGACATCTATCATACACTGTCAGCCCTATTTTTTAACATGGAAATTGTTAAATTGGTTTTGAAATTAGACAAGGCAACTTTAGTTTAAAATAGATGAGTCAATATTTTCTAAACTAACCTTTAGTATCAACCGCAAATGAACATACTTCTCCACAACCGATCCATGAGCAGACACACTCACTAAGTGCACCAAGCACTCGTGTAGGTTTGTTCACTGAAATTTTCGATCCCTTCAAATCACACCCCAAACCAAGACGACCGTAATCTGGTCGACCAACAGCGTACACATGACCTACAAAAGCAAAACATGGTTAGTTGTGAAACTTGAACCTATAAAAACTCTGAATAAAAAATAAACACCTACAAAACAAGAATCGCATAATCTACATTTAGAAAATAAAATAATTCGAAAACGTGCTAAGAAACATCGTGTTATGAAAAAGAAATTTGGAGGAAAAATCAGAGGCATTACGCATCTGCAAAAGCCATTAATTATTTCTTACTACATATTTTACAAATCATGAATGATGATAAAGTAGTATACTGACACATTTTTAAGAATATCCAAGAAATAACAATATGATAGCATATCCTACAGCAACGGGATTGTCACACGTTCAGATACCCTAATTTGTCCATCTTTCCTTTTTTTCACCCAGTTCAATAGCCGGTAAATAATATTATGGAAGCACTCAAGGTGACACACGCGAAACTTGATCGAACTACCGAAATTAGTTTTTCAAAGCGAAAACTCGTTTAGTCGTCTACATTGTACCCTAAAATATGTCTCCACACTTCAGTACTAACTAAATAATGTTGGTACAAACTGCGAGAAAAGAGGATGTCAAACATTCTTAGCTTGAAGAGGTCATTTTACAAGCACAGAACATAACTGTTCGTACTGAATCGTTAATCACCCAGTTGTTAGTAATCATGTTCGAGTTATGACTGCACAAAAGGTGGCTTATACTGGATTGTTTCATTAAAGGGTTTGCTGTAATGAAAGCAACCTGCTACACCCCTATCAGCGCTCATGAAGATAACCACACACATAACCTTACCACACGAAGATTATTCCTCATATAGTCACATAAAACTATATTATATTTCCATAGCTCGAACCATCATCTGAACTGTTTCAGAATGGTTCTGACTGATGACTTAAAGAACACTAATGAAAATGAGCAACCTAACACAAACCTGCTACTGAGTTAAAACAAGAGGTGTTTGTAAATACTCACTCTATCTGGCATGTTTTAGTGCAGGATTTTGGAATGTTAGCAAATATATCAGGGGCAATCCTTCCTAATATACAATCTCGAAGCACAAGCTTATCACCTAAACGAAAACAGCTCGGAATTCAGAAAGTAAGGTGATTGTTAGACCACAATAAGGCTGGTGGTATTAAAGCATTTGGTGTAGAGTATAATAGACAAAGCCCAACCTAGTCCTTGTGAATATATTTTTCCAGAGTTTCACGTAGTTTATGGAGTACAAAGGAAATCATATGGTTTCAGACGTTTACTCCGATGGCAGTATCCCAGCCCTCATACAAATCGAATGATTTATGTGGCGCATATCTATTTGGTGCTTCCTTGTACCAATGTTTATGTGTTTAAGTAAATAAATAAATAAACTCCGATGGTCATGATATGCATTGAATAAATTCGTTCGTTAGATAGGTACGACAATCACTTCATTCCTAATAAGATCCCTTTTTAAACAATGTAGTCAGCTTATCCATAACAGTCTATTCTTGAGAAAAGCAAACACCAAGTCGCCCGTATCGATTGGCGCGCATCATTTCACTTCATTTCGAACCTTCATAACATTAAATGGATTTGTATCCATCAACCAAGGAGAACAAGACATCTTGATCGAAGTTGCTCGGACAACCAAAGGAATGGAACTGTTTTCTATGTCTCTGAAGATCGCTAATTGTTTCACAGACGCAAAGCTTTTTGTTGCTAGTGACTGATTTCAATTAATATAAGGTGCAGAGGGAGAGTACCATGTAGCGAATACGCGACTAATCAGTTAGAACTCAGTATTGGTCTATCTACGGCACCACTCAACTTGCAAAAAAAGTCTCCATTAGCACCTCAGAAGATTCTTCTATACATGGACGCCCAATCAACACAGTGAACTCCACAACCGACACCGCAATATGTTCAAGTCATTGAGATAGTGGTAAAAATCATGTTTGGTTGGAACAAGACAGTAATCGTTGGGACTGTTAACAGAAACAGAAAGACAGTTTTACTTGTCAGCTTCTTCCTTAAACATTTTAACTTAGCAGGAAACTAAACGACTAATGGTTGAGATGTAGTCGCTTGGTGTCCCCTTACCCATAGTAGTTAGGGCGACGTCAACGAAACAATGTCCCCAGATAAGCGGAAGTAAAATAATTTTGCCCCCAAATGCCCTGGTATGGTCGAAAGTGGGGTGGGCCCGCCCTCCCTCGTGAAATGCTCTCACACGGCCACGCGTATACAGCCTCTGCCAGGGAAGTCCTACGCACTGCATTCTCGTGGCGGGGGTGTTGTTTACGAAAATGAGAGGGCGAAAAACGAATGTCCGGCGCTTTAACCGGATTCCAAACCAATAGTGCACATGGGCTCCGGTATCCTGACCGAACAAATGGCGTATGAACCAATCGTTGGTCACCGGCTACCATGGGACTGCATCTCCTTACGATGCTCCACTGTCTTGTGGATCAGACCTTCAGGTCGGAGGCTCGGGGTGTGGCCCCCTAAGATAACCACTTGCTTCAGTCTGGGCATCCGAGCAATATCACAGCCCGCACACAAATATGATGAACTGTCAATAATTATGGAAAATACTTTTCTTGCTTCAAATATTAATCAAACGATTCACATTATTATTATTACTATTGTTATTATTTACTACGTCATTTATTCACTCTCTTTTATTCCTACTCTGTCTATCCTTATTTTTCGACTTATACAGCAGCTCGTCTATGGTGGAAATTCGGTTCTATCTAAACGTTCTCGAGTAGAGACGTTATCAGATATGGCTCAGAATAGAAGCCAGTGGCGATCCTGCTGTAACCTTTTACTTTCTTCATAAAAAGTGGTTGCTTCTTCCTTAACTAAAAGATCTCTGAGTGTATGTTTGCGTTTCCCCCATTATTATTACACTACCTTACACTAATCTGTTCGTTGTCGTTTTTTTACGCTCCTTACCTTTTTTTCCTTCTCTGCAAATTCTCATTGTTTTGTGTGGCGCATATATATCTGGTGCCCTCCTGTACCAATATTTATGTGTTTAAATAAATAAATAAATAAATAAATAAATAAATAAACTTATAAAACAGCTTTCGAAATAATCTGAGTAATAATAATATATACGATCACCGAAAGTCATACAAACTAACACAAAATTGTATGCAGAACAGCTTACCAAGATGGTTTAAAGCCAGTGTATGATGCATACCGATCGCAAACTGACGCCAATCTTGATCCGGATCAAATCCAAATGCTCGAACTAACATGAACTGAATAAGGGGACCTTGCCGAGCGACTAGCTGGGCCTCCGACCTGTCAGCTTCCTGGCGATCAGTTACTAACTTTTCAGCATTCTCAGCCATATTCAGTTCGATGTCACCAAACTCTTCCGTAGAATTACATGAAAGCGATTTTCCATGACCGGTTGTATCGCGTAATGCTAGCTGACCATAATTATTTAGACCACAGGCATAGATAGCACCAGTCATTTGACAACGAGCGAATGTAGCAAAACCTCCTGCCCACACATCGGAAAAACGGACGGCCCCACGAACTCGACATTCAGTAGGTTGAAGTAATGAGCCTAAAATTCAGTAATAAATCACAGGAGTACGAAATAGAAAAATCAAATAGTTACAATGTGCTCTTAACATCCGGAAAAGTACAAAGATGTATTTCACACTACTGATTCAAAAATCACGGTTAATATTTTAAAAAGTAGAGCACTGACATTATTGCTCGAGCAATACTAATACATGGGACTAAAGTATGAAGGCATTAGTGGACATGTTATGACAATAAAGATTTCCCCCAGTTTTACTTCCTAACAAAACCACAATACTTAGGTTCACCAGAAGTTCTCTTCGGCTCAATATGAAATAAATAAAAGGTTGAAATCTGGAGAACCTAGTTTTAAATTAAACAAAAAGTTTTATTAGGGAATAGCAGAAATGCTTCACATAGTGCAATTGCAAATCTGCTTAAGTCCCCTCTATTTACTCATAGTCATCGATACTTTCTAACTAACTACATTTACAAAAGTACCATATCCAAAAGAAAAAAGATAGTTGAGAGATAATGCAGCACAGTAAACACGCAAAGGAAATTGATCGGACCTGACATTGCTAAAACTACTGACTTTTCTATTTGCTTAGAATAAATTCTTGAGAAGTTATAGTTTACAAATCTTCAGATATTCTATCAAGACGACTAGTTTAAGGTATACACAAAAGTTTCGATTTTATTAGTTAATATTAGAGATGGATGGATGTAAAACAAGAAGCCAAAGAGATCATCTAATAGATACCCAACCTGAGTCCAAAAAAGCACATTCGACCATTTTGTTTGCTCTCATCAGCAGCAGGTTTAACCCACTCTTCATTAAAATAGTAGCTTTATTTTCGTGAAAGCTCAAACCATATACAATAAAAATGAATGTATACTGGCCGTTGGGATAGGATGTGTATAGACTTGAGTTTTGGAGCATTTCATTTATCAATTATAAGTTTATATACTCAGCTGCTTTGTACCATACATCTTGTTTGATGTCTAACGGTGCCACCCAATGTCCGGACCGAATTAGGTAGATCATTGTTCGAACCTAAGATCTGATGGATAAAGGGGGATGACGATATGGAGATGTAACTACAATACAAGTTTAGTTAATTCGATCCTCCCGATATCATAATGGAAAGGAAGTTAGCGTAAAGCCAGTCAGACGCAACATAGGACCTGTCGCATCAGTACATCTAAAGTAAGTTAAGGCAAATCTCAGAGCCGTAGAAGTAGTAACAGGATTATTGGTAATGGAAAAGATTAGGGGAGGAAGATACGAATTAAAAATAAAATAACGAATAGTGGAATTGAGACAAAATTTATGGGGTAATTTATAAACCCTAGATTTAATGAAAGACAGAGTGAATCCAAAGCAAGCAAAAGTAATGATCCAAAACATGAATGTCTGAACGTGGATACAATTTAAATTCGACAACTTTAATGACTGTCTACAGAAACTATCGCAAGCTAATTATCTAAACAGCAGTTTAATATTACAGTAAAAGAGGTAAAGTATATCAAAATGTTTTCCTTACTAATCCCTGAACGACCACCATCTTTAGCAAACCGTTCAGCAACACGACCCAGTTGACCTTGTTCACCACATCCCATAGTGTAGAGACGACCTTCATCTGTCAGACAAACCAAATGGTCTTGTCCAGAAGCAATTTTTACTACGTGTGTACTAGAAGTTAAAAGCGCTGTATTTGTTGATCGACTAGATAACTTGGATTCATTGTTTGAAACACCATCATTGTGCTCATTGGAACTGTTCATAGCATAAGCTAGTAATAGTCGCGGAGTTGAACAAATCTCCCCAGGTTGTGTAAGTCCTATAGGACCACTAGCTCCTCGAAACGTTCCCCACAACCATACCTGACCATTGGTATCTAAGGCTGCAGTATGACTATCACCAGCGGAAACCTAAACAGCAAAGAAACAATGAGCTGGTTAGTTTACTTATTCTATAAACCCACCAAACAACCTTGAAAATAGTAGAAAGTCATTAAATCCTAGATTAGTACAAATAGTAACGGTATTAATGATGATATAAAATACTATGAATACACGAAAGAACAAATCCGAGTCATCACGTCAGTCAATGAACTTTCGCTACCTTATTAACAGATTTATCATACACACCTAGTAGCCTCTGTCTAACCTCAGAATTTCTAACTTGGTGGGCCCAAAATACACAAAAATTACTTCGAAGACATCTACGATGGAATACTAGTAACACAAAGATATCTATTGTTAAATGCTACATTTCAGTCATAAAGAACAGGATAAACTGCTACCCAATATACTTGCCCTTTAGTTTATAGATCTATGTATCGTTTACTTCACAAGTGATGCAAGTTGGCAGAAGCTGACCAAGCTTTCTGAATGTGTCGATATTTCACCATGCACCAACCCATCGGGGCTAATGAAACCTTCAAGATAAGTGAAGTGTTCAATGCCCTCAACTACTTCACTCTTCATCATCACCTTAGGTGTTGGTGCAGACCTATTCTGAAGCAACATCTTGTGTTCGGATAAGCATTTCAAATATGGTTGCATTGTTGCTCAAGGTGATCCGAGGATTGAATCTTGTCAGTGCCTCCGCCAAACAGGACAATGGCTGTGTATTTTACATCAGTAAGGTCTAGCCGGACCTTATGGTGAGCAAACAATGGTTTTGAACGAATAACTTACACAATTTTCAAATCGTAGTATTTAGAATTGTGAAAATCATATCTGAGCAGGGATATTTGTATAACAATACTTTCAGGATAAGGAGAAAGTTCTCATATCTTTAATCATTCAGCAGATTAATCTGTCCGCTATTACTAATGTTATCTACAAAGTAAACAATATTGCGGTTGGTGGACACGGAGAGTCCACCTAGGGGAGTTGGAAAATCCTGATTTCAAACATATGGTGTATGAACCAATCGTTAGTGACCGGTTACCATGGGACCGCATCTCCTTACTTTGCTCCACAGCCTTGTGGATCAGACCTTTAGGTCGAAGGCTCCGGGTGTGGCTCCCTAAGAAAACCACCTGTTTCAGTTTGGGCACCCGGGTAGCATTCCAGCTCACACACAAACCGAATGATTTGTCTGGTGCATATCTATTTGGTGCCTCCTTGCACATATATGTATGTGTTTAAATAATAGTAATAATAATAATAATAATAATAATAACAATAATAATAATAAAACAATATTGAAGAACACTATACTGTATACGGGGTTTGCGTATTTGAATGATTTACAAAACAAATCCTTAGGAAAGGACAAGCTAGATTATAATTTTCCATGATTGAAGACTCAAAAAACGCAGGTGTAACCAGTCAGGAGCTTCCATGCAATGATTCAGAACTTTTTTTAGAGTATAATGTGGCTTGTTTTCAATGGTTATAGATAATGATGGTTACATGAAACTTAGATGCACTTAGATGTGCATTTTCATCAACTACCTTCAACCATTTAGTTTCAAGGCATCGTTCTGTGACCTCAAGCTACCTTAAAAAAGTCGACAGGTAGAAATCAATTAGTATCGACGAATAGACACTATGCCACTAGTTACTACTTATTGAATAAATATCACTGGATTTACACATGTATGAAAATAAACAATCCGGCCAAAATTAACTTTAATATGTTGAAATATTTGTCAGTTACTTACCATAACTATCTTCACCTTCGTTGGAAACGGTATAAGTCCAAGATGACACTCATCTACAATAGGGTAAGAACCACTGCGATCGCATGGAGACGAATCATAGGATCCAGACTCCATACCCGTTGGTCTACCCAAAGCTCCCTCATCATTGCAACCACAGGTAGCAACAGTACCATTAGTTGTCAGGCAGACAGAATGCATGCCCCCACAACATATTTGTGTGAAATACGAAAAAGAATTTTCTTTAGTTGTTTGTAACGCACCAAGACTTGTAGCACTTGGGAGCGCAGGTCTTGAGCGTTCTGTTACATCTGGTCCCAAACCAAGTTGACCAGTATCTCCAACACCGAGGAAGAGAGCAGTACCTGGAACAGTAGATGTTGTAACGTTGTTTCTAATCTGCTTTGTGTGTCCACCTAGTTGTGATAATGGAGAATGAGGGCCTTCAGAAGTTTCGACTGAAAATGAAGTGATTTTTAGAGCAACAAGAATAATTTACTTACAGAAAGATAGAAAACGCGCTAACTCAAGAACCGTAATTAAAAATGATTGGGAAAAACAACAAACATTGATTTTGCAATTCTCAGTACAATAACTGATTGGTTACCTATACAAGGTCTACGACCACTTGAAAATGATCTTTGTAACTGTTTGTCTGACTGAAAATGGGATGTTATTCAAATAATGTACCTTGATTATATAGAACGGAGCTACGTTAATGACCATTAATCTACTTGTTCAAACAAGTTGAGTTTCAAACACTGATATGCATTTTAGACGATTCGCTCTTGAAGCAAAGCAAACATCTCTTCAAGACATATTGTCTAGTAGTATAAGACGGAATCGGAAAAATGGTCAGAAAATACGTGGTATGCCGGAAAATAATGGAGCACCTACTACTTACATCTGACTTATTGAGACTTTACATTTAATGATGTGAGGACCAAAAGCTTACTCAGTCGTGCCTCTTCATAGGTTCATAACAGAGTTTAACACATCAGTAACCATGGTGGAATATGGATGTGTAAGCTTTGTTAATTGTACTGCTTAATTTTTTAAATGAACATTTTAAAAACCTTCCTATTACCCCATTAACGAAATACTTGGAAGATAGCAGGCAAATCTGAATTTATACTAAGACATATCTAGACCTCGACAGAAAAATCCTATCTGAGAAAAGATTATTTGTTACTCTGACATATCCTAGGAAGATGTCTTCACAATACTAAAGCAAGGGGAAATTAGGAAGCAACTTAGTATCTTTTGGTAGATAAAAGTACAAACCGTTAATTGACGTTATCTTATCTCATCCACAGTAGAGACAACACGAACGAATTTGAGTTAGAAGATTTTCATACTTTTTACCACGTACAAGTCACAGTAAACATGTCAATGCTTAGTTGGAATTTAAGCCTTTAGTTAACGTCAGATGCCTGAACGTACGAGAAAGGTAAAGTGGCCACAAGGATTTGACAAAAATAACATTAAATATAATGGAGAAAGTGTGATAGGAAGCATGTCGAAATGAAAAAAGTATACAGAAAAATAAGATATTTATTACTTGTGAGGCATAAAACAGAATAGGATGAAATATCTGTGGGGCACTAGGACAAAGCTTACTGCATTGGAATACTAATAACATGTATTTACCGTGTCTCTTGAATGAAGTATGAAACCCACGGTAAGCCAATAGCAGTCATCATGGGATATTTTGATATCGACTTATTTTAAGTCTGGCTGTATACACTCAATATGGAAGCGCTCTGGCAAAAATAAGTTTTACTCCATGTGAGATCATCAAACTTACTATAACTTAGTGAATATTATATTAACTAGCGATGAATTATATTACTTGCAAATATACATGAAAAATAACTTGGTCAACATGAAGAATTAACCGTGGGATTACTTACATTTCCGGCGTTTTCTCAAACCACTGTCGAATGTGATGGAACTTCGTTTTTGACGAACAGGAATACCACTACTTTTAACAGTATCACGGCCATCTACACCCTGAGAGGACGGTTTGATGACCATGCTAGCACACAGGTTGAATATGCCACGGAGCCGAACAAATGAAGTAGATGCTCAATACCTAAATGGTTTCAAACAGTTGTAGACGAATAGAAAAAGTGTAGCGGTAAATAAATCCCCAAAATAAATAGCACTAAGTTTTCGACATTGGATGCTGACCATATGTTTTAGTGGACTCATCTAGCTGAAGGCGCTCGGTCAGGCATCTGCACCAGATCACGTGTGGTTACGCCGTGCTCAACATCAACCGCAATCGCTAGCCAGATTAGATCAGAGAATTCAGATATATTGGTCATCGCCAAATATACTCTTCCAATCTCCTCGACTCTGTCTTTTGATTTCTCTGGGCGGGAACGAAATATATTAGAAGGTGTTACTGGTAGAAGCGTTGTCAAACACTGAATACCTGTGACATCATCATTGGTGAAACCGACGTGATCTGGTACACCTAATTGCAACTGTGAGTCTGTTCCTTTTTGGGATTTTTATATATCATTGCCTTATTTTTTTATTTTTTTAAACATTGTGATTTTTTTTCGTGTTTTTTCCTGGATATATATATTTTCCCCTCGTTCATTATCGTACTTCATACTTCATCATGACTGAACAGACACCTAAAGTACTCAAGCTTAAGACTTTGTCCCCGCCTTCGTTTCAACTGATGCCTTTCTGGCCCGACAACATCGAAGCCTGGTTTTGCTACGCTGAAGCCGACTTCTCCGAGCACGGCGTGATCGACACACGTGCACAATTCCTCGCAGTAGTCAAGGCACTACCGCGCGAATTCAACAGGTACGTAACACCTAGTATGTTTACTAGTGATGTTTCCGATCCTTACGAAATCTTAAAACGCTCGATTCTTAAACGAGGAGACCTAACCGATCGACAAAGGTTAGATCAACTCTTCAACAATATCGACCTGCAACATGGTTCTGCAACGGACATGTTGCAACGGATGAGAGAGGTAATAGGCCCAAGAACTTTCGACGAAGGCCTATTCAAACAACTCTTCTTGTCAAAACTTCCCCAACAGGTGCAAGCAGTTCTGGTCTCGTTCCAGAACAATGCCTTAGACGAGCTAGCTGCATCTGCCGACCGCATTTTAGAAATTACGAAATCTACTACCGAGGTATTTTCAGTCAAAGAAAAACCTCAAACGACTCAGAATGATATAAACGACTTATGTCACACACTCACGCGTTATCTTAGTCTTCGTAACGACCGTAAGAGATCGCGCACACCACGTAGAAGCATTTCTCGTAAGCGATCTGTCTCTAGACCACGAGAGACAGATAACCCCGACTGGTGCTGGTATCATAACCAGTATGGAAAGCTTTCCAGAAATTGCAGAAAACCCTGCAATTTTCCCAACACGAAACCGACTGATTCGAAAAGCAATTCGGGAAACTTCCAAGCCGGCACGCGTTAACGGCAACCGTAGCCGGTGAACATAGCCGTCTGTTATACGTCACAGATGTGACAACGAGAGTTCGCTACCTCGTCGACACTGGCGCAGAAGTTAGCGTTCTCCCAGCAAATCCTAACGACCGACTACACGAATCGACCCTAAACTTACAGGCGGCAAACGGAAAACCGATCGCTACGTATGGCAAAAGGTACGTTTACCTTAACGTGGGTTTACGCAAACCCATCCACTGGATTTTCGTTGTTGCAGATGTCTCTATGCCAATCATTGGTATGGATCTTCTACAACACCACAATCTGATCATCGACACGCGCAAACGGAGGCTAGTAGATGGAACACTAATTTGTCCGTTTGCGTAACTTCTTTTACTGGTTGTAGAGTATCCCCAGTCACAGTTAAACATATGATAGACCCACTCTATCAACCACTACTCGATAAGTACCCTGAGATACAACAAACTCAAACGAAACTACCGTGTGTAACCAGCAAAGTTACACATCACATCACGACTACAGGACCACCTGTATTTTCTAAAGCACGCCGACTAGCTCCTGAAAAGCTAAGGTTAGCGAAAAACGAATTCGATCACATGATGGAATTAGGAATCATACGACCGTCAAGTAGTCCATATGCATCTCCGTTGCACATGGTCCCTAAAAAGGACAGCAACGATTGGCGTCCAACTGGTGACTATCGGCGATTGAACGCGAAAACCATTCCCGATCGTTACCCGTTGCCTCACATTCACGATTTGACAGCTACCTTGAAAGGTACAACTGTCTTTTCGAAAATCGACTTGGTTAAAGCGTATAACCAAATCCCTATGGCTACTGACGACATACCGAAAACGGCTATCATAACTCCCTTCGGACTCTATGAATTTTTGCGAATGCCTTTCGGTCTAAGGAATGCTGCTCAAACATTCCAAAGATTCATAGACGACGTTTTTCGAGGTCTCAACTTCGTACACGCGTATGTTGATGACTGTCTAATCGCAAGTCCGGACAGAGAAACACATCTCAAGCATCTGGATCTTGTTTTCGAACGACTTCAAAAACATGGCATAACGGTAAACGTTCAGAAATGCCAATTCGGAACCAACTCGTTAGACTTCCTAGGACACACTATCGATGCTCAAGGCATTCGACCTCTTAGGACCAAAGTGGCGGCCATTCTGGATTACCCAGAACAGACCACCGTCAAGCAATTGCGCACGTTTAACGGCCTGGTAAGTTTCTATAGACGTTTCATACCCAAATGCGCATTACTTATGAAACCTCTGACCGACCAACTTCGTGGAAATGCGAAATCCATTAATTTGGACGACACCGCACGAAAAGCATTCTCCACAGTTAAGGAACTGATTGCTAAAGCAACAATGCTTGCACATCAGGACACCCGAGCACCCATTAGCATCGCAGTAGACGCATCCGACTCAGCAATCGGAGGAGTCTTACAACAATGGGTTAACAACTCCTGGCAACCCTTGGCATTTTTCTCTAGAAGGTTGCTAGACACCGAATCGAGGTACAGCACATTCGGTAGGGAACTCCTAGCTATGTATTGTGCTGTACGGCATTTCCAACACTACATCGAAGGTCGTGAATTCACTCTTTTCACGGATCATAAACCGCTTACCTTCTCGTTAAGCTCTCCTTCTGACAAATACTCTCCCCGTGAGTCTCGACAACTGGACTACATTTCGCAGTTTACTTCAGATATTCAACACGTCTCTGGAGCAAACAATGTAGTTGCAGACGCTTTATCTCGTATAACTTCCTTGAACAGTTTCCAAGGAATCGACCTTCTTAAACTCGCCGAGCTTCAAAAAGAAGACAGTGATCTTCAGCACGAGTTATCGTCCACAACACTTAAACTACGCATCAAACAGATGGGAACAGGTAAGGAAACCTTACTATGTGACACATCTACAGGTAGGGATCGCCCAATCGTGCCGAAACATTATCGACGCAATGTCTTCAACACATTGCACAAACTTTCGCATCCAGGTGTTCGTGCAACCATCAAGCTCATAGCAGAAAGGTTTTGCTGGCCTGGAATGAATAAAGACGTGAGGGAGTGGGCACGCTCCTGTGTAAGCTGCCAAAAATCTAAGGTTATAAGACACAATAAATGTCCCTTAGGCTCGTTTAAAACTCCCGATGCTCGTTTCGACCATGTTCATTTGGATTTGGTACGACCTTTACCAGATTCAAATGGATACTCTTATCTCTTAACCTGCGTTGACCGTTTCACTCGATGGCCAGAAGCAGTACCTATCAAGGACATCACTGCTGAAACAGTGGCCCGCACCTTCGTCGAACGATGGGTAGCAAACTTCGGCTGCCCTTCAACCATTACTACAGACCGCGGACGTCAATTCGAATCTGATCTTTTCCGTCGTCTGACCACTCTTTTAGGAAGCACTCGCTTCCGAACGACCGCCTACCATCCACAAGCAAACGGGTTGGTAGAACGTTTTCACCGACAACTGAAAGCTTCGCTATCAGCTGCAAACGTTTCACAGTGGACCGACGCTCTCCCACTCGTCTTACTAGGTATCCGCAATGCAGTGAAAGCTGACATTGGATACACTGCGTCTCAACTCGTTTATGGTACGACACTTCGACTTCCAGGAGAATTCGTGGATCCTTCATCCTCTTCAATGAACATGGATCTAACCTCCTACACGAACAGGCTTACAAACGCAATGCGTTCAGTTAAACCTGCTTCCACTCGACCTCAATCAACTGATGTTTTCGTTCAACCTGACTTACGATATAGTACACACGTTTTCGTTCGTCGAGACTCGCATCGACGACCATTCGAATCAGCATACGAAGGACCCTTCAAAGTTCTTCAACGTGAACCTAAGTACTATATAGTCGATAAGAACGGAACCAACGATAGCATCAGTATCGATCGCTTAAAAGCAACGTATTTAGAAGGAAATCCTATCTACGTGGATTTTCCTTCGGTACAATCGAACGACACGACTCCGACACTTATAATACCTCATCCGACAACCAACCCACACGATGATACTTCGACAGTATCCGAAAATAAACCTAAAACGACGCGTTCTGGTAGAAGGGTGAGATTTCCAGAACATTTAAACGACTATTGCACGTAAGGTACTTCTCGACATTTTATATTATTTTTTTAAAAAAAAAAACAATTTTAATATGCTTATATATTTTTATTTCTATCTAAAAAAAAAAAAACCAAAAAAAATCAATTTTTTTAACGCTATTACGTGTTCATGAGTTTATTTTCCATTTTTTTTCCGCCGACATTGTGTTTTTACGCACATACGAGTGTATTTCGACATGCACTTACATATTCTTTTTTCTTTTCCAGGACGGCTGGAAAAGAACGATGACGTTTATGAGGATCCGAAATTTTCCATGTACATTTTCTTTTTTTACTATGTTGTACCTCCGTCCCATATAGTAAGGAAAGACGACCAGACGCTGCTAAATTTAGTAAGCTATCAGAAGAGTGTTTACCAACGACAAACTCGTTGGGTTTAAACTTCTGGCTGGCCACGTCTTAGGGTCGTCACTTCCCCACTAGGGGGGGAGTGATCTGTAGCGGTAAATA